AAATCGAGGACAGTGTGTCCTTCCTTCTGGATTCTAACCATATCTCTCCTGCCCAAATTCTGCTAATGCCCTCTTTCTAAAGATAATATTTCTAGACATCTGTCCCATATCCCTAAATAACAACTTCTTTATAAAAACCAAATCTTGGGCTGGAGAGATGGCTTAGAGGTTAAGAGCACTGATTGTTCTTCCAGAGGCCCTGAGTTCAATTCCCAGCAACTACAGGGTGGCTTACAACCATCTGTGATGAAATCTGGTGCCCTCTTCTGGCGTGCAGGCACACATGCAAACAGAATACTGTAAACAAAATAAATAAATAAATTAAAAAAAAAAAATCTTACCTGGAACTCCCTCCCTATGTGGACGAGGCTACGTTTGTTCTCTCTCTCTCTCTCTCTCTCTCTCTCTCTCTCTCTCTGTGTATCTCCTATGAATTTTTACTTCTATGCTGTACACTCTCTACAATAGGACTTTTTGACTGATCACTTGACCAATGATGAGCCACCAATTACTAGAAAACTGAAATAATAAAGAAACCTATATATAGAACATAAACTCCCAAGTTCGCTTACTAGACCCAATAGACATAAAACAGCTGTCAAATTGCTATAACAGTTTTGCATATTTGCCCCATAGACTGGTCAGTTAACAGTGCACAGACAATCACTAGTTCATGGACCACACTTTGAATACTGCTGACCTGGCTCACCAGCAGTTGGTCACATAATCTGGTTTTCTAAGAAAAATGAAGAGGTCCAGTGACATCTTAGTTGTCTTGCTTTGTTTAGTATACTGGGTGATAGTTTCCTAATTTCAAAATGCCTACTGCTGCATCCCTAAGAATGTTCTTCAATTGAGCCACACAGGCTGACTCATACAGTGTTTTCAATTAAAAGAAAGGCTCTAACACCCATCTTCATCTATCCTACCTCAGATCTCAATAAAGTAACACAAATCCACTCTGCACAAAAGGTTTGACAACCTCCCCTAACTCATACCACCGTCTGAGGAGTAAACATTCAGTCACGTGAGCCTCTGGGGGTCATTTCCCTCTCAAACTGTAACAATATGTGACCTTTCTGCATGGCAAATAGAGGTCCTTTTTGCCTGGTTCAGGAACCTCTCCCTGCAAGGTGAGGATGGATCTGTGGCACACTGGGCACAGAAGTGTGATCTTTCCCTCAGCATCCAGAACATCCTCTGCTGGTTGGAGACAAAATGCCTTGGCAATGAAGCTGTTGCTGCCCTCTGCTGCTGTAATTGAGAATTACAGGGAGCTGGATTCCTGGGGCTGCCGGGAATGGTGGAGGGGATCCTTGATGGGCATGCGCTTTGCTCAGGATTGGCTTCAGCAGCCTAGCCTTCACTTTTCAAAGCATTTTCACGCCTGGGCTCTTCCCTTTGACAAGGCCATACAACTCTCAGCAGCTTCTGGGCATGACTTGTAAATGCTACCACCTAAAGCTCAGCCTACCCACAACCGAGAGCATGGTCAGGGCTCAAACTTGCTCTTGATTTTCTCCTTTTGTTTGTACCCCATGACATGCCCAGACTGGAATGGAGTCTCAAATGTGCTGTGACTTTTACTTCATACACACATGTCCGGGTTGTCGTTTTCTGACTTTATGATTTAGTGAATACTTTAAAGGGGGTAGGTACTGGGGAGTGAACCCAGGCCCTTTGGCATACTAAGTATGTATCTTAGTTAGGGTTTCTATTGCTGCGATGAAACACCATGACTGAAAAGCCAGTTGGGGAGGAGAGGTTTCTTTTTTGGCTTACACTTTCACAGCACTGTTCATTGACGGAAGTCAGAACAGGAATTCAAACAGGGCAGGATCCTGGAGGCAGGAGCTGATGCAGAGGCCATGGAGAGGTGCTGCTTACTGGCCTGCTTCCTTCCTTCCTTGCTTCCTTCCTTCTTTTTCTTTTAAAGGAAACATTTAATTGGGATGGCTTGCTTACGAGCCTGCTTTTTTATAGAACCCAGGACCACCATCATAGGGATAGCCTCACGCCAAGTGAAGGTGGAAAATGAGCTCTGTGATCATTCAGGATCGACCGTCTTCAGATTCACAGATTATCTGAATTTACATAGTCACCAAGTCTGAGTCTGATGTCATCTTTGTTAGTGCAACAAGGACATGCGATAAATGAACTATTTGAAAAAGGAAAGGCTTATTTTAGCTTACAGTTTGCTTCAGTTACTTTTGGGCCACCTTAGCCGTGGAGGAGATACCCTGAGTAACTAAAACCTCCTGCTAGGTTCAGCCTTTAAATGTTTCCAGCATTTTTCCAACAGCACCAAGCAGAGAACCAGGCCTTTACCATCGATCTCCAGAGGATAGCCTTCATTTAAACCATAACAGCAATCCTAATGGTTTGATAATGTTTTATTTATTATTAGCTGCTACTCAAAAAAGGATTTTTTATTCCAATTAAACTGCACTGACAATATTGCCTGTCTGCCTTATTTGTCACGACATTAAAGATTATGTGTTCCTTTCACATGTCATGGCATTCACCATTCTAGTTCTGCAGCTTCTCTAATGACATATAAACCATAAACACAGACTTAGATGAGGCAGAGGGTCTCTGTGAGTTCAAGGCCAGCATGGCCTACAGAGCGCATTCCAGGACAGCCAGGGCTGTTACACAGAAAAACCCTGTCTTGGAAAACCAAAAAAGACTGAGCTAGACCAGGGTTTTCTGAATCTGTCTGGGACAGGGGAACTAACTTGAGAAGGCGAGAAGGCAAGAAGGACCAAAGGCCTGAAGGCAGGATGACTAGCAGCAAAAGGGACAGAGCCTAGAGGTCAGACTGGGAAAAGTTTCAGATGCCACTCTGAGGATTTGAAGGAAACACAGGAAGTGAGAGCGTTGATTAATTTTAATGTTTCAAGAGTATTTTATCTGTTAAATCTAATAATGAGTTCAAGTTTGTTTTCAAAAATGTATTCAATATTTGTACTTCTAACTGCATTTATCTTCTTTTAAATGTACAACGTTGTTCTGTTTTAAAAAATACTACAAGATCCCCGTGGCAGTAGGCAGCAGAAATGCTGTAGGTCCTAAATGGTGGCGGCGGGCCATGTGGTGGCAGGCAGCGGGTCCTGGGAGCAGCCAGTCCCAGAGCAGCGGCCCGAGCGGTGGCGGCGGGCCATGTGGCGGCAGACAGTGGGCCCCAGGCAGAGACGGCTGCTGGTCCCCGAGCAATGGCTGGTCCCAGGCGGGGAGACACATGGCGGGCGGGCAGAAGACAGGACCATGGATAGACACGACATGCAGGGATGCAGGGTGAGGTTGAATGTTTATTCAGGGAGTTATGGAGGAGGAAGGGTGAAGAGGAGGACAGGGAGAGAGAGAAGAGAAGAGAAGAGAAGAGAAGAGAAGAGAAGAGGAGAAAGAGACAGAGAAGGGGGAAGCAGAGAAGTGGGGAGAGAGGCAGAAGCAAAGCTGCCTCTCCGAGAGGAAGATGGAAAAGAGAACGAGCTCAGGCAGGAAGCTGAAGATCAGCCTGCCTCAGCGGATGGGGAGGGGGAATGGGTGTGGCTTGTCTCTTAAAGGGACCAAAACCATAGCATTCCCAGGTCTTCCTTATAATAAAAAGCACGCATGTCAAGGAAGCAGAAAAGGAAGGCCCCAAGATGGCGGCGGGCAGGTCAGAGGTAATGAAAGTGGGCGTGGCTTGTCCCTTAAAGCGACAGGAAAGCACAACATACATATTTACATCATTATTGTTAATTTTTAAAAAATTATTTACTGGGTGTTTTGCCTAGTGTCCATGGAAGCTAAAGAGGGCACTTCATCCCCTGGAACTAGAGTTACAGAAGGTTGCGAGCAGCCATGAGGGTGTTAGGAATTGAGCCAAAGAACTGGAAGAGCAGCCAGTGCTCTTAAACAGTGGGCCATCTCTCCAATTCTCATTTTTATATTTTAACTGCAAAGCTGACTACACAAAGACAATGGCCCAATCATACCTAAAATAGAATGTGACCCACAACTTACACAGAAAAATAACTTCTTTTCTAAAACAGTCTAGGAAACCAGATGGTGAGTAACAATTCAAGAAGCTACTAGATCTTGATATTTCCCTAATTTAGTCCCTGCAACTCAGGGCTAACTGGGGAAGGACAAAGAATATGCCTTCCAAGACGAATCATATAGGATACCCCCGCTCTGTCCAGTGGCTCCCAGCTTCCCCTGGCAAGCAGCCTCCACGGGCCACACACCGCGCCTTCTACTAGGTCTGAGTGAGTAGTTGCCAAAAGGCGAGCGACAGCAATTCCTTGCCCCCCATCCCCTAAATAAACAGTTTTGCTTATCCTCCCTTGGTTATTGGGCAACCACTAAGTTTTGTTTTTTAAATATTTATGTGTCTGAGTATTTTGTCTGGGTGCATGTGCACCACGTGTGTGCCTAGTTCTGACAGAAGCAAGGGGACTTTGGATTTCTTGGAACTGGAGTTAAGTATGGTTGTGAGCCACCAAGAGAGTGCTAGGACTTGAACCCGGGTCTCTGCAAGAGTAATAAGCGCTCTCAACTGCAGAGCTCCCGCTCCATCACTGACTTTTTAATAGCTGAGGATATACATTTTTTTTCATGGACATTTTGAACGTTTGGTGTGAAGGAGTGCAATGCTACCAATAAGCAAAGGCTTATTTATCTCCGATTCTCCACCCAGTCAAGGGGAAAGAAACACTGCCTGAGGGATCCCGGTCCCCGCAGGGCAGGACCACGGCGGCCGGAGAAGGAAGAACATCCTAAGCACACATGGCCGGACAGAGGGAGAAACGATCGCTAAAGCCCTCGGAATCAAGAGTAGACGCCTAATGATGCGAAGGGGAAGATACTAAAGCACAACAGCGCTGGGAACCTCAGACAGCTACCGCCGCTCAATGTTTCCGCGCGCGGGTGTGGCTTCCCGCAGATGCCCTCTGCGCCTGCGCACTCGCTGCGACGTCACGTCCGCCGGCGGGATTTAACGGCGGACGGGAAAACCGGAGCGGGCGTGCGTGTCCCGCAACATTGCTCCCCTCGCTCGCTCCGCCCCGGCGCTTGTGGTTCCGCCTGCCCGCCTGTGGCTCAGCGCGCCCAGCCTGCTTCTCGCTGCTTTCGCAGGTCACTTAGTCTGAACCCGGGTGTGTTTGCTCTACTAGAGGTGAAGCGTTCATAGCCGGGAGAGCGGGGTCTGGGGCGTCACCGGGTACCAGCACCTTACCCGCTGGTGGAAGTACCTGGGCAGGAATTGGTTGTATACCCTTCAGGGAGATGCCTTTGCCATCACAGTGCACGAATGCTTAAAAAAAACAAAGAAAAGAATTCCAGAGTTTGCGTTTTAATGCTTTGGATTAAAAAAAAAAAAAACAGCTGTCAGAAGAGCGTGGAACTCTTTCAAAGCAATTCTAAATTCCAAATTGCTTTTGCAAAAAATGAATTATAATCTTTTCCGTGACAAATTATGTTCAGATGATATCTTCCCGACCCAAGGAAGAAATCTATCTTCAGGGGTCGTCTCGGGGGCTTTTAGTAGCTGAGGACTGTATTCTTTGGAAGAGTGTTTGTATCTTTAGTGCCTGACTCACTAACCTCGTTCGATCTTTTCTTGGTTTATCACTTGCATCAGGAAGACTGTTCTGAAGGAATGGTCACGCTGGGTTTTATCTCGGTTTTCAGCCTTCCATTGACTGTGCTGTCACTTGTCATCCGTCTACATTCCTAACCGTCTTCTGGCTATACTTCAGTGCTGTTTATCTCTTGGAGGTTTTGCATTTTGGTAATTACACTTGGCAGAATTATGTTTACAGTAGAAGAAAAAAGATAAGGGCAAGGGCAGGATTTTTTCCTTCTCCTTTCCCCAAATACCCATTTTAGAAAGCACAGCTAAGCAAAACAAAAGAAATCAAAGTCACAAGACTCCTACCTGAAGATAACTGTGGATAATATTTTGGATGTCTCTTATTTTTTTTTTTTTTAAAAAAATGCTTATCTTGGGCCAGGAATGGTGGCCCAACACCTCTCATCTCAGAACTCAGGAGGCAGAGACACAGATCTCTGAATTTGAGGCCATCATGAGCTACTTAGTGAGATCCCAGTTGTAAAACTGGATGCAGAATCAGGGTACATACCCTTGGCTAGCCCCTTTTACATAACATAACATAAACTGCCTGTATCTTTTCTATTCACAAGTTTATAATTGCTACAAGATATTTCATTGTGCTAGTGAGTAAAGACTGAACCTTAGTCCCTACACTCTGTGCCATCTTCTTGTGTGGCTTAGAGGACAGCTAACTCATATCTTGTTTTTGACCAAGATGCATAAGGAAGGTGGGATTCGAGTTGTGTGAATTCAAAGATTTAATGCTCCTTGGTTAGGGGCAGGCATTTTTTTTTCATATTTGACTTATTGAAAAGGCAGAGAAAATAACTTAATGTTTTCCCAATTCTTCTCTCTCTGTTTTTAGGCACACTTAAGAAACCCTCTAAGAATGAAATATGACTGATGATTCTCAGAGAAACTTTCGATCAGTCTACTATGAGAAAGTGGGGTTTCGGGGAGTTGAAGAAAAGAAATCCCTGGAAATCCTCCTGAAAGATGACCCTTTGGGTGAGCCTTATCTGTGCAAGCTTATTGGTTCTCAGTCCTAGTGGGTTTTACCAAGTAAAGATTAACTTAGTGGACTCGAAGCAGTACTTAGTACTTGCTGTATTTTTTGGTGAAGGGACATGTCAGAGTGGTGTAATTTGAGAAAAGTTGAAGATTTTTCAAATTCACTGAGAGGCGAAAGGTTGTGCAAATCTTCTTAAAAACTCATCGCTGCTGAGTGTGGTCGTGCAGAACTTTGATTGCAGCGCTCAAGAGACAGAGGCAGAGGGATCTATGAGTCCAAGAGCAGCCTGGTGTACATGTAAAGTTCCAGGACAGCCAGGGGATACGTAGTAAGACACTACACCTTTTTTTTTTTTTTTTTTGGTTTTTCGAGACAGGGTTTCTCTGTGGCTTTGGAGCCTGTCCTGGAATTAGCTCTGTAGACCAGGCTGGTCTCGAACTCACAGAGATCCGCCTGCCTCTGCCTCCCAAGTGCTGGGATTAAAGGCGTGCGCCACCATCGCCCGGCGACACTACACCTTTAAAAATAACTCAATACTATTTATTTTTATTTAAGCCTATATATTTCCTCTCAATTTCTAGCTGTATCACCATGGTTTCTATTTTTGCAGGTAAACTCTGCAAAATTATCTTTGGAAGATAATCCTTCATTACGCATCGATACTCAGTTTATCTTAAGCTAACAACAGTAGTCTATTGTTACAGTAAAACAGAACCGTAGTATAAAGACAAACATAAGTTGTGTAAAGGGCTTGTTGTTGGCAGAGCTGGGACTGGAATCCAGGGCTTTGCACATACTAAGACATGCTCTACCACTGAGCAACACTGTATCCCTCCCCCCAATTCTGTATTTCGTAATTCCTGCTAATTTTAGAGGGAATGCAGTGATGTATGCAACATACATTTCTGTGCTGCAAAAGCGCTGTTTTCGATAGCTTTGTTGCTAGAAGGTGTGGGCTAGAAATGAGACCGCTATGGCCTCAGTTGCTGGTCCTGCGGTGGATGTCTTCTGAAGGCGTCTGAACTAGTGAAGCTGTACTTTCAGGTGCTGTGAGCCCATGTGACATTTTTAATTGTTCTCTTTCTTCCTTTAGACATTGAGAAGCTTTGCACCTTCAGCCAGAGGTTCCCTCTCCCATCCATGTACCGTGCATTGGTATGGAAGGTGCTTCTAGGTATGAGACCCGGGAGTTGGGGAATTTAACTTCGAAAGTATTGAGTGGGATCCTTTGTCATCTTGCAGGCGGAAGAGGAGGATTTGCTTAGATTCTCTGCTTACTTACATAAATTGTGTGCAGTAATTCTAGACTTCTGAGGGAAGTCTTAACTATTCTAGATGGACAGACCCTAGGAGCCTAAAAATTCTTACCTAATTTCTGTGACAGACGAGGAATTAAAGCCTAGGTTCCTAGAGCGTAGGGCAGGCGTAGGTGGGGTTGGATAACAGACCACATGCTCCTTTCCTAGTGTATTGTCACAGCCTGAGAACTCTGCAGTCCTCAGTCTGGCCATGCAATATGGAGGTCACAAGGGACTGCAAGCCACTCTAGAAAGCTCTCCAGATGGCTCTTTGCTGAACCTCTTGGCAGCTTTGATGTGCTCATTCGTGTCTGGTTGGGTATGTGTGGTGACCATCTACAAAATTCATGATAACTGTTTAAGTTTTCCTTGAAGCATTTTTCCCCCCTTGAATTTTACATAAAGACTCTGAAGTCAGCAATTGAATTCCTTCTAAGGGTCCATTTTAGGCAATTATCACAAGTGCCCATTTCTTCTGGGATACCCTGTGTGTCTTATTAATGGGAAATGTTGTTATGTTTGTGACATTTCCTAAGTGCCAAGGCCCGACTGGCTTTGTACCTGGGTTTCTCTTACTGTTAGATGCACTGGAAATGCAGAGTTGTGACAGTATAAGGGGCTCTTTGTAGCCCAAGCTTCAAGTGACACTTTCCGAAAGAGAATCGTCTCAGCCGTGTGGGCTGCTTCTTACAGGATTCCTCCCACTAGAGGAAGGATTTGTGTGGGGGTCTCAGTTTGCCCTTTTCCTGTCCCCTCTCCCTGTGTAGGGATCTTGCCTCCACACCATGACTCTCATGCCAAGGTGATGGCCTACCGCAAAGATCAGTACTCTGATGTCCTTCATGCACTGACGGTAGTCCGCTTCGTCAACGATGCCACCCCTCAGGTTGAAGTGTATCTTCGCATGTACCAGCTTGAGTCTGGGAAGCTGCCTCGAAGTCCCTCTTTTTCACTGGTGAGTGGTCATTCTCACGTGACGTTTAACGCAACCCCTTTTCTAAGAATTACATTTTCCTTTGTCTGCTAATGTGTTTGCAGAGCTGTGGATTCATTCATTCTTCATGAATGTTAGGCAGGCAGTCCACCACTGAGCCACACCTCTAAGCCTTTATTCTTGCTAGCTTCCATTGTACAATGTTTTGCCTTAGAAACTTTCAATGGTTTCCTATTGTCGGTACAATGAAAAATGAAAGCAACCATTTTACCTGGGCTCTACAGTCCTGAACGATCACTGTTAGTTATTTTAAATTGTGTTTTGTTTTAGGCACAGTCACACATTGCTTAGTGATGATACGTGTTCTGAGAAGTGTGTCACTGGACATTTGCAAACATCATGTACTTACATTTGCTCAGACTCAATGACTGTGACCTTACTAGGCAGTTTAATCATAGAGGGTCACTATCCTAGATGGGTCTATGGCTGACTAAAATATTATGGGATGCATGACTGTAGTCTCAAACTTGAAGGAAGGGCACAAAAATACTACCAAGAAGTTCTATAACTTTTACTGACATTTCCAGTTGTTAGCATTTAGTGACATCTGCTTTGCCACTCTCTCCTACATCTGTACTTTCTCCCTCTCTCTCCCTCCCTCTTTCTTCCCCTCCCTCCCTCCTTTCTCTTCCTCCATCTCTCCCTTCTGTCTTTAAAAACTATTTTATTTTAGGTGTATGAGTGTTTTGCCTACATGTATGTCTGTGCACCACTTGCCCGCCATTGGGTTTCCTGGAACTGGAGTTGCAAACGGTTGTGCGCTGCTAGGAACCAAACTGTTCTCCCCTGGAAGAGTAGCCAGTGCCATCTAACCAACCTCACTTTTGTCTTCTTTTGAGACAAGTTCTCCCCATGTATACAGCACAGGCCAGCTTCCAACTCAATATCCTCCTGTCTCCGTCGCATGAGTGCCGGGATTATTGGCGTGCACCGCCACTCCTGGCTCTGCGCACACACTTCTTTGTATAAGCCACAAGAGAGCGAGCGTCAGTTGTGATGCTCTGTTCCTTCAGTTCCATCAGTCTCTCTGTAGGTGAGCACTGCACAGCTACAAGTTAGTGCTGTGACAGCACTCAGTCTGACCTACGAGCTCCATTCTTATTGGCCCAGTTGTTCTCGGGATGCCCTTCATCACAAATACACAAAAGGTCTAGCTGAAGAATCAGTTTTGGATTGTGGGTTACCTTTGATCCTGGACGGGTCTCTTGTCTTTCTCTTTCATGCCCTTGACACTTTTGACAGGTGTTGGTCAGTAATTTTACAGAAAGCCCCCCACTTCAGGTCCGCCTGTGCTCCCTCCTTGTGATACAGGCAGGGACACCCATGGGTGATGTGTTCACAGTGTACTGTGTTGGGAGGCTCACCTGGCTTTGCCTCCTGGAACATCCATTAATGCTGATTTCTTGGTAAGGCAGTGCCTGCTGGGCTTCTACTGAGAAGTTATTCTTTCTCCCTTTGTAACCACTTCTTCCCTTTGTGGGGAGACATTTAAAACTGCTATGTAATCAGCTCTATCTTATTAAAGTTTGGCTCATACATTTGGCCATTCATTGGTTTCAATTATATGTATATATGTCTTTCATCTTTAAGTAACTTTAAGTAAGAAGAAAGTTATAAAATAGCACACCACCCGCATACACCTTCACTTAGCATCCTCATTTACTGGATCTTCCAAAACCGCAGAGTGATGATGAGAACTTACGAGTTAGCTTTGACCCCAGGCTAGGAGCTAAGTTGTACATCTTTTCGAGATCTTACTGCCTGTGCCCTGATGCCCCTTTGACCCCGGACACCATTCTGGATCAACATTACACTTAGTTGCCATTCTTGGTCCTAAACCCACTGACTGGCCTTCAGACTTCTTTGGACTTCTGTGACCTTGACACTTTTGTAGAGCCTGAGTCTCTTAGGGATTTCTCCATTTTCTGATAACTACAACCTGGTTATGCTTTACTGGTAAGGATAGCAAGAGAAATACTGGTAACTTTGATCACTTGGTACAGGTGCTGCCTACCAGGTGCCTCCCCTGTAAGCTTACTCTTTGTAATTAGTGAGTAAGTAATGGAAAGGAACTCTGAGACTTTACACATACACACACACACACACACACACACACACACACACACACACGCAGAGTCTCATTGTGTAACCCTGACTGGATGGATTGGTCTGGTCTCGAACTCACAGACCTCTTTCTGCCTCTGCCTCCTGACCTGAGTGCTGGGATTAGAGGTGTGTGCCAGCTTCCTGGAATCTGGAGGCTTGTAAATACCCACCCAATTATTATTATTATTGTTATTGCCTAAAATGTTTTTGCTGCTCTAGTTGCCAAATGGTGATTCTCTAATTCCTGAATTCATTCTGGGTCTGTTAGCTGCATCTATGAGTTTCCCTTTGCATTTATTTATTGATGTCATTGTGGATGTACAGAATCCTTTTAACTCAATGGCCTACACTATTTTATTGCCATTTTTTCTTTTGTTGTTCAAAATGCTCCAGCTTCGGACAGCGGGAGCCCTTTCCATCTGGCACCTGTGTCTGTCTGATACTCCACTGTTTTGAATGTTCCCTGACATTTCATCACAAAAAGATGCTCCAGGATCAGCTTTTACTTCCTGCACTGCAGCTCTGGCCTGCGCCTTTGTTTCTGGTTTCCTGGGCTGTTTGCTTTCAGGTTCACTTAGTAGACAGGCATAAAAAATATATGTGAGTATATATATTCATCCTTGCATATTCATACATGCCAAGTTGTCTCTCATTCTCTCCATATTGATATAGATATAGATATAGATATTAGATATAGAGTGTGTGTGTATGTGTGTGTGTATAAAAAATATAGTGTTGTGCTGCTGGGCACGGAACCCAGAGGGTCATGCATGCCAGACCGGTGTTCTACTGCTGAGTTAGACCCCAGCCTTTATGTATTAGTGTGTATCTTTCTAAGTTATAGTAAAAATCCTGGGTTCACAATGGTAAGTCCAATTCCATCCCAATAGCACAAGGTTATTTTTAGCCTTCCCTGTTGCAGATATTAAAAAGTTCCCATTTTCCTAAGGTGTTCACTTCTGGCTCTTTTTCCAGTCAGGGTTGTCAGCCACTCCTGGCTACTTATTGCAGTTGTCTAGGTATTTTAATGATGGTTTTATTTATTTGGCTAAAACAGAATGAATTTTTCAAGCAAGGATTTGCATGCAAGCTTTGATTATCTACAAACTTTGTTTTTTAATGAAGATTGGGCTGTGAACCAAGTATGCACCACTTCTAATCCAGTACTTGGAGGCTGAGAGGGGAGGAACTTGAGCTTGAGTCCAGCTACATAGTGAGAGCTTGCCTCAAAAATAATTGACTTATTTTATATATGGCTTAATATATATATATATATATATGTAATATAGGCAGTTAATATTAGAGTTCCTGTGTCAGATTAGCACTAATAAAGGCCATCTGTTCACTCTGACCACTACATTTATGAAGAGGCAGAAGAGCCCCTAAATATTAAGTGGTGTTCAGGACAGTCTCGTTTTCCTATTACTCATCGTCAGCACTGTGACATTGAAAGTACCACATGAGCTGTGTGGTTCTGGGACTGAACCTGTGACCTCTTAGGTGCTAGGCTGTGCCCTGCCGCTGGCTGCATCTCCAGCCCCTTACATCCTTTATTTTACCTTTCACTAAGCTGCCCGGTTGCAGTCCTCCTGCCTTAGCTCCCTGAGTAGCTGAGTCACAGGCCCACACTAGGAAAAGGACTTCGAGTTCAATAAGTTTAGCTGTTGTGTTAGTTTAAGCAATCAAAATTATAGGCATGATTCATGCTCATCCCTGCTCACTGGTCCACGCTTTGGTTCATACTCATCCCTGCTCACTGTTCCACGCTTTGGTTCATACTCATCCCTGCTCACTGTTCCACGCTTTGGTTCATGCTCACCCCTGCTCACTAGTCCACGCTTTGGTTCATGCTCATCCCTGCTCACTGGTCCACGCTTTGGTTCATGCTCATCCCTGCTCACTGGTCCACACTTTGGTTCATGCTCATCCCTACTCACTGGTCCACGCTTTGGTTCATACTCATCCCTGCTCACTGGTCCACGCTTTGATTCATGCTCATCCCTGCTCACTAGTCCACGCTTTGGTTCCTGCTCATCCCTGCTCACTGGTCCACGCTTTGGTTCATGCTCATCCCTGCTCACTGTTCCACGCTTTGGTTCATGCTCACCCCTGCTCACTAGTCCACGCTTTGGTTCATGCTCATCCCTGCTCACTGGTCCACGCTTTGGTTCATGCTCATCCCTGCTCACTGGTCCACACTTTGGTTCATGCTCATCCCTACTCACTGGTCCACGCTTTGGTTCATACTCATCCCTGCTCACTGGTCCACGCTTTGATTCATGCTCATCCCTGCTCACTAGTCCACGCTTTGGTTCCTGCTCATCCCTGCTCACTGGTCCATGCTTTGGTTCATGCTCATCCCTGCTCACTAGTCCACGCTTTGGTTCCTGCTCATCCCTGCTCACTGGTCCATGCTTTGGTTCATGCTCATCCCTGCTCACTGGTCCATGCTTTGGTTCATGCTCATCCCTGCTCACTAGTCCACGCTTTGGTTCCTGCTCATCCCTGCTCACTGGTCCATGCTTTGGTTCATGCTCATCCCTGCTCACTGGTCCATGCTTTGAGCCCTGGCACCTCCCCTGCAGTCTCAGGTGCACGTGCTGTCTGATCTGAATGTGGGTGTGGGTCTCTGTCTCCCTGCCTCTCTGTACACACTCAGCCCTCTTATGCTGTGGTCTGAGGAGCATGTGAGTACTGGATCACAGCTGGGGGAAGAACATTAGTTTCCTCTTGGCCTGTCAGAGTGATGGGGACCTTGCCATCTGCAGGGTCGCCCAGGCCAGGCCAAGGGCTGTGGAATCCTGGAGGTTTCCTTTCCTTCTTGCTCCTTTGTGTCCCCCAATACTCTAACACTGTTTAGAGAAATACACTTCTGTTAATCCTAACTCTGGGCCTCCTTGCGTTTTTTTAAAACATTTTTTTTAATGATTTGTCTTTATTTTATGTGCATTGGTGTTTTGGCAGCATATAGGTCTGTGAAAGGGTGTCTGATTCCCTGGAACTGAAGATACAGTTGTGAGCTGCCAAGTGGGTGCTGGGAATTGAACCTGGGTCCTTTGGAAGAGCAGCCAGTGCTCTTAGCCACTGAGCCGTCTCTCCAGCCTGACTGCTTGCATTTTGTGGATATCAACAAGCAGAAAGGAAATCTAAGATTGAAGTGCCTTTTATTAAAACAGGAAATTTTTATTTAACTTGGGGCTTCTCAGGGAATAGAATGGTATTTTTTAATTTCCTTTTAATCTTAAAAGTATCAAACTATGAAAGTCTAGATGAAAATGTAAGGTTTTTGTTGTTTTGTTTTTGAGACAGGGTAGCCAGGGCTGCCCTGGAACTCACTCTGTAGACCAGACTGGCCTTGAGCTCATAGGCCTGTACCTCCTGGCTGTTTTTTGTGTTTGGTTGGTTGGTTTCTGGTGTTGATGGTAATATTTGAAAATAAAATAACTTTACAAATGGGGTTTCAGTTTAATAAGAGTCCTCTGTTGAAAATTACTTGAGGGTTTATTTTCATATTAACAGATCTGAGTAGTGACCTTCTGCTTCCTAAAATTCTGATACTGGGCTGTTAAAAATTGAGGCATTCTGAAGCCATGTGTGGAAGCTTTGACATAATCAGTGTTTTGTGAGCCCATTTGGAGTCCCCCAGTATTCGTAAGCTATGTACTGAGACACATTCCAAAGTGGGGGTGTCATCACAGAAGGACCCCTGATCCAACATGGAGACTGGCTGCGTGGGAGAGACCCTGCCTTCCCTAACACTGATCTAACATGGAGACTGGCTGCGTGGGAGAGACCCTGCCTTGCTTGTGCAGACCCCACCCAAGAGCCAGCTGTTGTTCAGTCATGCTGACTCCCATAATTCCCTGTGGCTGCCCTTCCTTCCCTCCCTTGCTTCTTTCTTTCTAGCACACTCTACCTTCTCTGATTTATTAATGGGTCCTCTTCGGGGTTCAGGGGGCAGTGTTCCATTTTCAGTGAAGAAACATATCTTTCCTTCTGCTGCCTTCCTCTTGAGATTCATTGTTAATCTTTCAGGAGCCGGAGGATGATGTCTTTCTCGCCATTGCCAAAGCCATGGAGGAGATGGTGGAGGATAGCGTTGACTGTTACTGGGTCACCCGATGCTTCGTGAAGCAGTTAAATAGCAAGTTCCGGGATTCTTTACCTCAGCTGGTAAGGGTTTTGTGTTTTGAATGGGAGTGTTGGGGAATAAGCAGTGTCAGGGACACTGTCACCGAGGTGCTGCTGCTGTGACAGGTGGCCCTCTATAGTGGCTTCTGGCAGATGTGTTCTGTAAAGGCCAGAAAGTGTTCCCCATGGAGTGGGGAGACATGGAGTGGGCCCCGTGTTTCCTTTTCTGCTGCTGGAGCACTGTCGGGGTCTCCAGGGCTGGACTCGCTTGCAGCCCTGCCTGCTCTGGAGTAGTCCTGACCCGTCCAGACCCAATGGCTTACCTAGCGTGGTCACTTGGTTAGTGTGTACAGAAGGCCTAAGTGACAGGAGCTCCTTCTCCTCACATACCTTCAAGTACAGAGCGAGGGCAGCCAGGGCTGCTGGACGGGACTCCAGGCTCCTGTTATTGTGTTCCAGCATACACATATGTACACATATATACACATGAACACATGGAGTGTATTACTCTACACACAGGCCTTACCGTTTTTGTTTGTTTTGTTGTTGTTTATTTCAGTACGTGGAGAATTTCTAGGCTCATTCAGATAAACTAGTGGCTTTCAGTTCTGACTTCCTGTTAGTACTCAAGAGATTTAGAGAATTTCTTATCCCCCGTATTCCTCCACCAGACCAATTAAATCAGAGTCTCTCGATGGGCCTGGAATTCTAATGTTTCAAGACTTAGGCAATTCTGCTTGTAGCTAGGATTGACAGCCTCTCATTTAGAATCACTTTTCCTACTAACTTACTCAGTGTTTCCCCTTATGAATTTGCTGTAATTAAGTCTATCAGCCTCACACTGACAATAAACACGCCCTTGCTCGTGTGTACGTGTGTGCGTGTGTACCATAGTCTGGGCAAATTTACATCTTAACCTGGCAGGCAGGTCCTGAGCTGGCCTGCTCTCCACTCTGCTGCGCAGGTACAAGACTGTTAGTCTTGTCCTTCAAGCAGTGGCCCTGCCCTCTCGCTCCTCCTGACACAGCCTTGAGGGCCAGTGAAATTGGTCAGCTTTATATATTTTTATTGTTGGCTTCAGAGTGTGTGTGTAGATACATACACATATATGTATATATCATTCTTATTATATGTATTAGATGTTTGCCACACCTCAGCCAGCTTCCCCCCTTCAGGTCTTCACTTGATAGCTCCAGATCACCCAGTATTGCCGTGGGCATTTTGTAGCTTTCCATAATACCTGACTCTTGCTGTAGACTCTGCCTTAGCTGTTGGATCTGATTAGTGCAGTTCCGGGTGGCAGCCATTCCATTTGGCCTGGGCATTGTCCTGTGGGGTGAGCACTGGAGGAGCCCTGCGTCCTGAGAAAGCCCGCAGTTCCAGTGCGGTCACCCTTGTCAGTACTGACTGAAGCCTGTAGCGTTACGACGAACTTGATGCTTCTCAAGCTTTGTCTTCTAGTCCCTTCTCTTACGCAGCACGCACACTTTTTCAGTGTAAGTTGCAGCATGAGGTGGCATTATGTCACAGGAAATGAGTAATCACTTTTGCTATGTCATCTTTAGCCCAAGGCTTTTGAACAGTACTTGAATCTGGAAGACAGTAGGCTGCTGAGTCACCTGAAGGCCTGCTCTGCCGTGTCCAAACTTCCTTATGATCTCTGGTTCAAAAGGTGCTTCGCCGGATGCCTGCCTGAGTCCAGTTTACAGAGGTATGTGTTTTCCCATCGCCTACAGGCAGCTTGGAGTCGGAAAGAGTTTCTGGCCCTTCTGTGACCATCCTCTAAGTTGGAGTTTGCTTCAGAATGAGAAGGAGATGCAAAACTACATCTCCTGGCAATTTCTGTACCTAACGTGGTTCTCCTTGTTGTTGGAGACATGCCTACAAAGCTTGTGGGCCTCTGTGTGGATGCCGTGAGGCAGTGGTAGCCGAAACAGTGGGGATATGTGGGCTTCTTTTCTAGACAGGGTTAGTTCCTGACAGATAGACAACTTTGTATGACATCCTCAAAAGAGCTAAGACACATGTTAAGGGTATTTCTTAGTCCCAGCCCCCCCAACCTGGGTCTTTGTGATGTTGGTTTCAAGAAAGAAGTCAGTAATATAGAGAGCATTAAAAGAAAATGTGTAACTTAGTACACAGAGTCTACTACCAGCTTCAAAAGTTATAGGAATTATCAAATCATTTTTTATAGTAGGTCAAGGACTGGCTCCCTGGTCTCGGGAAGGGCTCAGTGGGTACAGTTATTTGCTGTACAAACAAGAAGACCTGAGTTTGGATCCCCAACAGCCATATAAAAAGCCAGGTATGATGGCATGTTCCGTAAAGCAAGTGCTGGCAGGGGTATCTGTGGAGACAGGCAGCTCTTGGTGCTCACTAGATAGCCAGTCTAGTCAGCTGGTGAGCATGAGGTTCAGTGAGCGACTCTATCTCAAAAAATCAAGGGGAACACAACAGAGGGAGCTACCCAAATCAACCCCAGCCTCTGCAGGCGTTTACACGTATGTGCCCGTGGAGCTACACCCAGCATGTTACATATACACTCATAAAGAGCCCTGCAGTACGTTTAGAGAACCTCCTCTGGTTCTCATTTCACTGGCAATGAAATGACTTCGCCTGACATTTTGCTGTCCTGTGGTGTCTGCTAAGCTGGCAGTACATGACTGTAACAGGACACACCCCGATTTAGGACTGTCTTTTCCTTCGATGTCGAGTTCTCAGCAGGCATTTGGAACATTCTAGAGCAGCAGCGACTTTAAGTGAACTTCATTTTTCCCTTATAAAGCTATCCTATCTAGAATCATCTCAGCGGCTCATCTATCATGTTGTTACTGATTGTTTCACAGTTGCTGTCTGAAACATATACTGAAAATGAGTGGAATTTGATCTTACTTTATGACCTGAGATGTCTGGGTAACGCCAGTTTTGCACACCTGTAATTTGGTGATCTCTGTTTTCTAGGGTCTGGGATAAAGTTGTCAGTGGATCCTGTAAGATCCTAGTCTTTGTCGCAGTAGAAATATTACTAACCTTTAAGATGAAAGTCATGGCACTGAACAGTGCAGAGAAGATAACAAAGTTCCTGGAAAACGTGAGTGCTTTGTCTCCCTGGATTTGGAATCTAGAAATGAAGGCAGTTTGGCAAGCCAGGTTTCCCTGTTGTGTTACATTAACAGCGTAGTTTTACTCCTCTGAAGCATTTTGTTATTGTTGGTTTGAGATTGTGATTTATGCTGTAACTCATCCTGGCCTGTTATTGTTGGTTTGAGATTGTGATTTATGCTGTAACTCATCCTGGCCTGGAACACTCTGTGTATATCCCAGCTGCCTCCAGTTCTTGGTAATCTTCCTGCCCTAGCTTCCTGGATGCTGGGATTACAGTCACGCACCCCACTCCTGGCAGGAAAAGAAAGTTACTTTTCCTTAACAGTATTGCTGTCTCCCTGTTTCTTTGGGGATGCCAGTCTGCATGGCAAGCCCCTTATTCATAGTCCTGGGGTGTGGTGTTGTGGGGTAGCCTTCTCCCCAGTGAGCACAGCAGGAACAGGAGGCGATGTGAGTGAGCACTGTTGGGGTTCTCTAGGCCTTTTCCTGCCACGGGGGTAATCCTAGCTGGGGTGCTTCATGCAGTTGTTAGTGCATGCTGAAAAGGCCTAGGGGACCAGCTCCTCCTCCCCCTTAGAACCTTCTCTCCTGGGTAAACAGTAAAGAGATCATGCCTGCTGAGAATACAGCATACGCAGACCCCCCCCCCCCTTAATTAACCAGCTATACATGTGAAGTGTGGCCTGGTAAATAGTAAGAGCTAAGTGAATGTGTACGTGTTCATTAAGTGAATCACCACTGCTGTACCAATTAGCGGCCAACAGTGCCAGGCACGTGCCAGGCAAGAGCTCCCTTCGGTCATCCCATGAGCAGCTCTGTGAACTTGGGATGTTGTTTAGAGATCAGTGCTGAACCTTAGGCAGCCGAGTACTTGTCCAAGGCTACGTGGTGAGTGGGCACGGAAAGATGGCCTGGTACCAGAGCTACTCAGTATGTCCCCAGGAGCATTAAATCATTCCGAATCTGCTACCACCTTCCAAAAAAAAAAACAGAGAAAGCTCCATGGAAACAGGTCTGCCACAGAACGAGAGAAGATCCTGAAGGAACAAACACAAGGAATTTCACTTGGATGCCTTTGTTCTTTACAGATTCCTCAGGACAGCTCCGACGCTATTGTGAGCAAGGCCATCGACTTGTGGCACAAACACTGTGGGACCCCGGTCCACTCAGCCTGACAGCTTGTGACTTCATGGATGGTCTGCAGGCCCTCCCTGAGCACCCTGTCCATGTCGTTACTAACTGTATAGAAATGGTAATCTCGCTGTGGTGCTCAGAATGCTCCCTCCACCCCCACTCAGTAAAATAATTTAATCACAGTGCCTGGTGCAGCAGTGTTGTGAAGCAGTGTCTCTTGGCGACATCGACACACAGCTCTGGGGTGATATTTTAAAAGGGTAGTCAGGAAATCCCTCCTGGTCCTTAGGCAGCTCAGGTGCAGCCTGGGTATCCAGTGAGAGGTACAGTGAAGCCCGCCTCCCTCTGATGAGCACCAGGCACAGGTTAGACACTTAGAAGGGCCTCTTTCTGGAAAAAGAACAGCTTTCTTTTCTCGGCACTTCAGATTTGGCTTTTGCCTTCTGTTGTCCTAGAACGTGTGCTTTCTCATGTCTTGCTAAACTGACTTACAAACAGTCCTTGCATCTTCTTACATGTTCCCTGCTCCTTTCACCAGCTGGAATGAAGTCTTTTTTTTTTTTTTTCTTTGAGACAGGCCTCATTTTATACCTTGCTTTCTGGAACTCATTATATAACTGGCCTTGAACTCCTGGCAGTCCCCCACCTCAGCCTCCTGAGTGCTGGGATTACTGGCATGAAGCTTTTATTGAATAAAACACCTCTAAATTTACCTTCTAAGAGAGATCACTTGCTTGATATTTGTGTGTCTTGACGTTTTCTAACAAGTCATTAAATGTCAGGTGGCCTTTCCAGCACTCTCTGCTACCACAGGATTAGGAGAGGTGGCAGGCTAAGGTTAATAGCCAGTGATCCCTGGCCTTATTCTGTCACATATGGTCACCCTTCAGGAAGCCTTTGATGACTTTGGGACTGGTGAGTAAAATGGGGTCCTGTTGCAGACTTACTCAGCTCACAGTCTTACAGGAATGTGGGGAGCACATCAGAGTTTTCCCCATCCTCCTCCCACACAGTGAGGGAGGGATGAAATTAGGGAGTTATACTTCTGAGAACCCAGTCCCTCCCTGACGTGTGAAACAGCTACCAACAAAGGACTGAGAAGAAACAGAGCCACTGAAACCAGCTGGTCAGCCTGTGGGTACCAGACAAAGGGAGTCTTTTAAATGGACTCAGAAGCAAACCCTCTTCACACAGATTTCCACTTACAGTCAGTATGTTAAATGATTCTCCGCCAACCATTTCTTTAGTAACCACTCAAGTAACCTGAAGAACTTTGGGGACATAGGGGAAAAACACACACAGAGGAAACTCTTCCCCAATTGCTTGCTTCCTAATGATCATAGAGAATATGTGAAACTCACAGAGATATGATAAAGAAATTGTGTCCTCACTGTAATGGTAAAAATAAAATGCTGTGGATTCCCAAGTGGCTGCCGTGGGCCATGAGTCCCAGGCAGGGAGCTGCATGATGGGTGAGAGACCTCAAAGGGGCAGCCAGTCCCACGAGGAGAGAAAGACAAATGGGCACCCCATGAGACCTCGCCACAGGTCTCTGAAGGTGGTTGGTCCCCCGTAGGGAGCCATGCTGTGGGTGAGAGACAGATACATGGATAGGCTCGTCATGCAGAGTGAGGCTGGATATTTATTTAGTGGGTTATGGAGGGGAAAGGGGATAAGAGCAGAGAGAGAGGCAGAGACAGAAAGAGACAGAGAGAGAAATAGGGGAGAAGGGGGAGACAAGCTGCCTCTGAGAGAGAGAGAGAGAGAGAGAGAGAGAGAGAGAGAGAGAGAGAGAGACTTAGGCTGGAAGCTGGAGATCAGCTTGCCTCAGCAGACAGGGGAGGGAGTGGGTGTGGCTTGTCTCTTAAAGGGACAGGACTGACCATTTACACTCACCCCTCCTCCGTGTGTGTGTGTCCACGTGTGCAGAATGAGTATACTTGGATATGTGTGTAGAGGCCCAAGTCAACCTCTGCTGTTGTTCCTCAGGATGGCCATCCACCTTGGTTTTTCAGGCAGGCTTTCTCACTGAGACTATGACTTGCCTATTGGTAAGCTAGGTTAGATAGATTGTGAGCATTCTTCCATCCCCGCCTCACCAGCTCAGAGATTACGAACCCATGCTACCATGTTCACTTTTTATCTGCGTGCTGGGACAGGAACTTGGGTCCTCATGCCTGCATAACTATCACCTCAACACTGGTTACTTAGGTAGTCACATATCATTTAAACACGTCTTTTAACAAAATAGACATGGTGAAATCTATCGATGTCACTGAATCCCAGTCCCATAAAATTAAAAAGAACTAGCCACCTCTGAACTGGAAGAGAGTTTGAAAGTATGCTGCCCTGAGTGGGCGTGGGAAACCAGGAGCCCTGCGGCAGGACTAGGTTTGGAGACTACAGCTGCCCTTCCTTGCTGTTCCCCCGACAGAGGTCAGAGGGTCTCACACGGAAGGCTCCTGCGGTACTGCTGTGCACTAGACAGCACCTTGCGTGTGTGTCCTGTCAGCCCCAGTCAGGTGAGACCTGTCCGTAGAGGATGGGGAGAAGAGGTTTTTTAAGCAAGTCAGTGTGACACCATGTGTATTTTTCTTACTAGGAATGAAACAGTCAAGGACTCCTTGAGAGCTGAGAACACACAGGGACCCACTGTTTTGTGGCAGAAGTATCTGGAGAGAGCCCTGTTTAGCTTCTGTCTTCTGTCCTCCACCCCTCATAAAAAATGCCCTCATGTTTCCTTTTTCCAGAACACTGACAAGTTGTGGGGGAATGGCAGCTCCATGTTAAAATAGCCCAGAGTGCTAGTCACACCATGCTGAACTTAGTTCTGGTTCTGTCTCTAGGCATCTTTACACACCAATGGCAGAAGCTCTAAATCCACTAGGATTGAGACACAAAGGAAAAGGGATGTGTGGGTGTGTATGTTGGGGGAGCTGGTGTATATGTGTGTATGGAGTATATATGTAGGGGGGTTGATGTGTATGTGGTATGTATATGTGGGCATATGTGTATATGGAATGTGTACTGTCTGGTATATGTGGAATGGGAGAGCATATATGTGCTGTATGTGTGTGGGTAGGTCTATATGTGGAGGGGAGTTGGTATATATGGGGTATTGTGTGTGGGTCCATGTATATGTGGAATATGTATTTGTGAATGTATATGTCAACAGGGTCTGGAATATATGAGGTGAGAGTGTGTGAATAGGTAGCTGTGTGTAGAGTATGGGGGATTAAGAATGCGGAGTGGGTATGTGGAATGTATGGTATATATACATTTGTGAGGTCTAAGTGTGTCCTATACATGTGGAATGTATGGTAGATGAATATTTGTGGGGTGTAAGTATGCCTTGTATATGTAGGGGGTCTAAGTATGTGTTGGGATATGTTTGACTTTTACCTCATGACAGTTTGTACTTTTTAAAAATTTTATTTATTTTTATTTTATGTCCATTGGTGCTTTTGCTGTGGGTGTCAGGTCCTCTGGAACTGGAATTACAAACAGTTGTGAGCTGGGAATTGAGCCAGGGTCCTCTAGAAGAGCAGTCAGTGCTCCTAACCACTGAGCCATCTTTCCAGCCCCAACAGTTGGTGCTTTTAAAGCAGGAGAGGAGACTTTGGATGATCTGCTTCTAAATGCCAACTCTGCCTCTTGTGCCCTAGCAGTTTGGTGTCTGGCTCTTTGGTTTCCCTTCATCATGTCTTAAATATGAGCACCCTGCTATTTATGAGCCAGTACTGAGTGTTGGAGAGTTGGAGAGGATGCTAGGAGCCCACATCAGCACAAGAGGGCATGTTCCTAGTGGCAAGGAGGACACCTCAGAAGCTCTGGACTCCAATCAGCAGCACATGCTGATCAGATTCCTGCCTTGAGGGACTGCGGGGTCAGAACCTACCCTGCCCCGCCCGCTCTGCTATGTGTTATGTCTGAGTTGCTTGTTCTGCACCATTTACTTGTAGGGGGACAGCCAGCCCTCTCATGGGTAGGAGGTAGTGGGGGGACATATGGAGGAATCACACGGGTACCCTTGGCACACCATCTCCATGTCTGGGTGTTCCCTGTGAACATTCATACTAAGCCTAATTCATCTCAGAAGTCTACCAAAAGCTGACTTTGCCTAGGTGAGAGATTGGAGGCCAGTGGCAGGCAGCAGATGGGTTTGTTTCTGATTGCAAGGGGAGAGGGGTGGAAATACAGGGTGATAGAGCCCCAGGGTGCCCAATATCTGGGGCTCTAGACCAGAACTGGGGCTGCCAGACCATATGACAGTTGAGTGAGCCGGAGTCAAGGCAATTAGAATTTGCGGCTGCTAAGGTTGACAGATCACAAGATTACGGTGAAGGCTTGCCTAGGCCTGAGGAATGTCAGAACCCAAGGGAGCCTGCTGGTCAGTCAGCTAAGAGATAAGAAACGGAAGTTCCGGGTGCACCTCGGGTGAGAGAGGTCACCACTGTTAGATGAGTAGTCTAGACCCTGTTTTCTTGCTGCCTGGCTAGAAGGCAGAAGCCACTCACTGCCCAAAATTTCTTTCTGTGGTTGGGAGATGTCGTTCAGTGGTTATAGTACTGCCTAGGACCCACAAGTCCTGCCTTGGTCCATAGCACCATAAAAAGCATGCAGGGGCAGAGGCCGGAGAGATGCCTCATTTGCTAAAGTGCTCGCTCTAGCATGAAAACCTGAGTTGACGCTGCAGAACTCACATTTAAAAATAGTTGGGCAAGCTCGACGGTGGTCGTGCATACCTTTAAACCCAGCACTTGGAAGGCAGAGTCAGGCAGATCTCTGTGAGTTTGAGGTCAGCTTGGTCTACAGAGTAAGTTCTAGGACAGCCAGGGCTACACAGAGAAACCTTGTTTCGAAAAACAGAAACCTAAGCGGAAAAATAGTTGGGCATAGTGGTAGTGTGTGGAGTCAGAGACAGGAGATTTCTGGGCTAACTAGTTAGTCTAGCCTCCTTGGGGAGATCCAGGGCCATGAAAAACCTGTCTCAAAATAGTGGACTGTAAATTCACAGAGACTGTGGGAGCACGCACAGGACCTGTACAGGTCAGGCAAGGTCTCAGTGCTAAGAAAGGGGGATGTTGTTGACACGGGTTCCTGACCCTTAACCAAGAAGCTATCTACGATTGACATCTGCTTGCAAAGGAAAACTTAGCTTTCTCCAATGGAGTCTCACTGGGAATGAGAACTACATTTAAAGGTGGGTCCCATGCCCAGCGGTAGATGACAAACACAAAATGAACTCAGTGGCATTGCTGTAGACTTTTTGTCTTGTATTGCCTTGGGGGTCACTTCTTGTCTTGTTAGTGTTTACTTGTATATTATGATTTGTGATTTTGTGGGTTTTTTGGTGTGTGTGTATGTTTGTGTGTGTGTGTTTCTAAAGAGGAAAAGGAAGGAAGGATAGGAACAATCTGGGAGGAGTCATGCGACACCAGGACCTTGTTCAGCATTGCTTTCTTTCACAGGTCATGAATATTGCCAGACTGTCAAATCCTGTCAGGCATCCCCACAGGCAAGAACCTCATCTTAGTATCAGGCAGGCACTGCATGGGTGGGCTGTTACCTTTCCTGGTCCCTGGTATTTAGCTACAGCCGCACAAAGGGACACCTCTGAAGCCAAGGTGAAGACGACTTGGCATCTGGAGGGACCAAGCCAGGAGCCATCACACTCTGGATGAACACTTGGGTTGAAGTTATCCCATTGCTGAAGGTGGTGGGCATGCTTTAGGCCTTACAAGAGCTCTCAGAGAAGACAGTGTCCTGAGAGGGTAGCTCTCCAGGCCCCTCCCATGACAGACAGGGATAGAAGACTCATCAGTGCTGTTACTTGCAAGTGACCTGAGGGATGGGCCCCAGAAGGCCTTTTGATAAGCGTCATCGTTTTTCAAGACTCAGTTTAGTTCTTTCCAAACTGTCCCTATTGCTGGACAGGGTGCTGCATGCCTATAATCCCAGCATTTAAGAGGTGGAAGCAGGAGGGTGAGGACACAGCTCAGTGAGGGGAGTGCTTGCTGCGCACATATGACCTGACAGATCTCGTAAAACCCACCTAAAGCCAGGAGCGATGTGTCAGGAATCCCAGCGCTTCTACAGTGAGATGGGAGGTGGAGACAGGAGGATGCCCATAAGCTCAAGGACTAGCTACCCAGCATGGGCAGCAGCCGACAGCAAAGAGACCCTGTCTTAGAAAAGGTGGAATTCGAGGAAGACGCCCAAGGTTGTCCTGACCTTCACTCATGCCCCTTGTGTGTGCACGCACTCACAGGCACATGCACGCGCGCACACATATATATGCTAAAAAAGAACATGGAATTTAAAGACTCACTCTGAAAATAAGGAAACAGAAGCATGGGGAAATTAGATGGCATGGCCACCCCAGCGACAGGGACGGAGGCACCAGGCCTTTGTTTGGCGAGAACATGTAACCAGAGCCTTCCTTCCCTTTCCGGCCATTTTTCTTCCCTCCTACCAGGTACAGCTTCTTTAGACCTCTTTAAAAACCTTTTATTCCCAGCCCTTTACATCCATAGAAAACGGTAGCCAGGCTCTGCAGGTGAAACTTTTCAAAGCCCAGAAAGCTGTGGGAGAGGAAAGGCAGGATGGGCACACTTAAGAGCAGAAATGGAGACCCTTGTAAAACACTCACCGTGCCGCCCATAGCCACTCTTGCTGGGAACACACGGAGCCTGGAGCTTTCCTTCTGTCTCTCAGTGGTCTAGCTCCATTCATGTGGCCACTCACGAGTCCTGGACACGGCAAGAGGCCTGCTCTCCGAAGCCAGGCCCGTCAGTGTGGTTCCTAGCCCAACCGTAGCACAGGCCCGAGGAGCTTGCCAAACACGGGACTCCACGCCCAAGACTTCTGAAGTATTTATGCACCAGTAAGACCCCAGGTTATTCCTATCTGAGGCTCCACACAGGCAGTCCCTTGCTCTGCTTCCCTCCCGAGAGTTGGCTCCTCACATCGCTGGCTCATGAATCTGAGACCCAGCAACTTCCCCCATGCAAATGGCAGCCCTCTGCTTCCCTAGCCCCTTCAACATTACAGCCTAGTGACACCATTAGTTCATGTGAGAGAATGTTTGCTTTGTTGGATACTCAAGTTCTTCAAGAAGCAGGTGCATGCATAGTTGTCTGTCCATCTGTGGAATTCCAGGACCATTCCCATCTCAAATCTGGGGATGCTCAAGTCTCTGGTATAAAACCCATGATTTGTAGACATCCCCCCTTATGCTTAAATGACATGTTAGTACCCAATGCAGTGGATATGTGGGGTCAGAAGGTGACATAGTGTATTGTTTAGAAAACAATGATAAGACCATATGTGTTTAGTTCTGATGCAATCCCCCCCCCCCTATATTTTTGATCCAAAGGTGGTTGAGTCCTCAGATACAGAAGGCCCACTGTTCTCAAAGGGCAAAGCAAAATACAGCTTTTATTCAGTTGCAGAGGCACAGCAAAGGCCCCCAGGCTGTAAAGCTGTCTGGTATCTATACCACCAAGACCACCCAGTGACTGAACTAAAGGCTAATTCATATCCATTCTCCCCAGAACACTCAGGGACAGAGGTTTGGGAGATTTCTGAAAATGTCAAAAAAGGTTGAGAATACAAGTGTTCTCGAAAGTTAATCTAGGGGCTGAAGAGATAGCTAGGGGGTTAGGAGCACCTGCTGCTCTTCCAGAGGTCCTGAGTTCAACTCCCAGCACCCACAAGGTGGCTCACCACCATCTATAATGAGACCATGTGCACTCTTGTAGCCTGCATGCAGGCAGAACACAGTCTACAAAACAAATAAATAAATCTTAAAGAGAAAGCTAATCTATGGGCAGTGGTCATCCCTGCCCACCACTCCCCCCACTGCCAATGCTGCCAGAAACACGAGCTTGCTGGTCTTCCAATAACCGTTTACCTCCTCTTTGCCAACCCTTCCCTATCCCAGGTATTTCTGATGGTTCCTGCTGACAGGTGTTTAAAAGAACACAGTAGTCAGAGATTTTTTTTTAAACATTTTTTTTCTTTTGGTTTGTTTTTAAAGAAACTGCATACATCATCAGAGAGAAACAATAACTTAAATGCCATGCAGTTTCTGTATGTACAAAACCTAGGCCACAGAGATCCAGCTTAGTTTATATTCTATGTACAGCATCTTCCTCATACAGCCGTCATCTGTTAAGTTAGAGCCCTGAAGGGCATGGGGTCGACGGTCACCACACTCACTCCTATACAAAGACGAACTATGTACAGACACCAGGAAGCGACTGGAAGAAAGCAACCTGCTTGGGGAGGAACAGATTCATGTGAGGAAGAAGTCATCGAAGGTGACCCCTGCCCACTGACTGCACAGGGAGAGCCTGGGATCCCATTCGTCGAAGCGACACACCACGATGCTCATTCTGGAAGTACAAACACATGTTTATAAGCGGGAGGAAAAAAAGAAACTCAGAGCGCCTCCTCGCGCGGACCAGCGCCTTGTTTGGTTTCTCTATCTGGCAGAAAGGCTCATATTCTGAAAACCTGGCAGGGCTCTCAGGGTGCCTGGGGAAGGAGTGATCAGGATTTTGGAAAAGCCCGTTTGCCAGTGGCAGGCTCTTCTGCCAGGGAAGTGGAGCTGGGACGGACGGGGCTTTCAGCAACGCTTGCTTTTGAGAAGAAAACAAGGTTTGACATGTTTCACATTTTCCCTTCCTGTGAACCCGCACCCCACGGTGCTCAGATGCGGATATATAGGCTCAAGATGAACTCACTTGAGGACTGCAGCTGTTTCAGAGAGGGATGTTTAAAGTCACCTAGCTAGCCTTTCATCCCCCAATTAATGTCAACTTGTCACCTTTAGAAACAGTTCAAGTCACTTCAGTTGTCCTAACAAAGTGGGGGAAAATGTGGTTCCGGCTCCCTAAAGACTCCAGGATCTTAGAAGGAGAGGGAAAGTACCTTCCCACAGCTGGGGAGGCTGCAGAGCCTGGGCGGGAACCACTTATCAGGGCCTTGAAATAGCTGATCCCCCTGCCCCCAAAGGAGGTGGTGACCTTTTAGGAGCTTGTGCAGCACACCCCTAACTCTGAGCAAGTGACTTCTGCAAAATGGTGCCTCACAGGAAGTGATGTCAGCATTGTGTCCAACTTCTTCCATGTATAAAGAGGAGGCCAACTCCTGGGCACGCTGAAGGGAATTGCTGACAGCAGCCGCTGCTTTGGAGCAGGGAGACAGATGCATCTGGGACTTCAGAAGGGCCCTAGAACCAAGGCCAGCAGGGAAGCCAAGGAGTTCCTTAGGACTCCTCCAGGCTGGGGAAGGCCTGACTGTCAGGCCAGGACACTACAGCAGCCTGAAGTGCAGCTGCTGTTTAGAGGAAGTGAGGCCCTCGGGCCCAGCCAGGCAGGGACCTCCACCCAGAACACGTGCCTACCCTTCACCCTAGGGAAGTTCAAGGAAAGAGTTCTGTACCCTTCCTCCTACCCTGTGCACATTCAAAGGTCAGTCAGTCTTTCAGGAAGACTGTGTTTACAGCCATACTAAAATCCTGCCACCCTTTCCCTACCCCTTTGGACATTCAAATAATAATGACAGAGAAATCCAGTGATGGTGATGTCTTTGGGCTGGACAGAGGTGTACTCGGTCCAGACAGTGCCCAGGAGCTGCACGGTGCTACCTAGGAAGCTGATCTAAGCTTTCCTTTAACTCTGTCTGGTTCCTGGGTTAGCAACTGGCCATGAAGCCACTAATGGGTGCTGTGTCCAAAGAGTAAAATTGCATGGCCTCACTGATAGGTGCTGTGTCCAAAGAGTAACATGGTCCCAACTGGTTTGACAAGGGGACAACTTTTTGGGGCTTGCCACTCTCTGAATCCTGGGTGTGTTGGATGGGGAGTAAGCCACCACTTAGTGAACCCATGGCAACTCTGAAAGCCGAGTGCATCGCAGGGGTGGAGGCGGAGCTTTGCACCCAAGGGTCTGTGAGCTCCATTAGGAAGGAAACAGTGCTGCAGCAGGCCTCCTTAGGGTCTGGGGTGTCCTTCCCTCAGTGCGCACCCAACCCTTGGAGGCCCTGTCAACAGGGCAGCTGGAGGCACATCCTGAGAGAGGGGGGCAGGGAGAGAAGAGAAGACTGAATCTCTCTGGTAAGAAGAGCAGTAAGGGACGCCATAGACAGTCATGGCTGGCAAAATCTTGCCCAGTGCTAGCCCTGCTGAGATGTTGGCTCTGCTAAGATGCAGAAACTCTTCAGTGAACAGACAGAAGAGTGGAAGGCCCTGGAGAGGCACTGGGACATTGATCCCCAGCTCTGGCCTCCAGAAGTTATGAAAACGACCAAGCCACATCTTCCTGTCTCAGGGGTGTCACAAGGCCAATGAAAAATGGGGGCCAAGTGGAGCTCCTGACCCCACCCAGCCTCTGCTCAGCTCATACTCATGAATACCGCAGGGAATCTTAGCAAGGGCATTTCTGTGTGGATCGCCCATGGCCCTGGGCTTTCCAAACACAAGCTGGTCAACGAATGAGAACCAAGCAGGCAGCCACTATTCCTCAGTCTTCTGGAAGGCAGTTCAGATCCGGCTGGGGGTCAAAGCAGATGCTCAGTTTCAGCTTCCTATACCCAGAGCACTGGGGGGCGGGGGAGAACTGAGAGGTCTTTCCCCTTTCCAGACCCTCTCAATGCCTCATGTGGAGCCTATGCGACAGACCAAGTTTAGGTCCCGCTGAATCATGACTTTGGCCTAGCCACACCCATGCCAAACCCGCTGTTCTGGGCTTCTTTGAACTCAGGCAACAGGCCCTTGCAAGGAAGGGTTCATTGAAGACTGAACCAATGTGGTGCCTGCTGGCCGGCTGGGGGGCGGGTGAGGCAGTCTCTGGACAGCGTTCAGGTAGGGCCCTGCTGGGGGCGGGGACACCTCTTGGTAGTGGAAGTGCCAGCAGCTTTTGACTGAGGAGTGGTCATCATGGTGTTTCCTCATACAGAATCCTGACTGTGTTTCCCTTTGTTGTTTCTTCTTCTCCTTTTTTTCTTTTCTTTTTCTTTTTCATTTTTTTTTTATAAAAAAAAAGGCAGTTCAGATTTACATCGTAATGGGGAAGTGGACAAATGCCAGCACTTATGGTTCTTATAAATTTATGTTTTGAAGACAGCAGAGCACTCGAGAGTAATCCCGCTGTTAAGGTCGATGAAACCTGGGGAACAAGGAACTTCATCAAGGTCGTGGGAACATCAGAGGCCCCGATCCCACATGCCCATCTCTCCATCCTCCAGTGCTACCTCCCACCCGTGGCACAAACACAAAGGGGGTGCCCTACATGTTTGAGCTCCACAGATTTCACCTCAGGGACCAGAGAAAGTTTACTTTGGAGTCTTTGGAGGCCCAAACGGGTGTCTGCACTAGGGTAGTTGGGACTGTGTGTCTGAGTCAGGCGGCATGTTCACTGGCAAGTCCTGGGTCTCCACGTGTTCTCCAAAGGAGAGTGATTAGACAAATGAAACCAATGGCTTACTAACTAGCCACGCATACACCCCACAGAGCAAATTCTTTCCGTGTCCCATTTTCCCCAAGCGACATCAGACAGGACTGCTTGGTAGAAGAACACAGGACAACAGAACAGTCTTTAGTGGTCCTGTGTGGTATTTTGGTATTCTGCCCAGGTTTGGCCTCTGTTGACTGTATGTTGGCAACACTCTTATTTCCCCAGCTTTAGTTTTTATAAAAACCCACTTTGAGGTCATCCAACACATGTCAGAGTTTTCATTTGAGCAAATTAAAAACAAACAAACAAAACAAAAAACAGAGGGTGACTTTTTGCCTGGGCCTTAAACATTTGAACATTCTTTGCCTGAGGTCTTCTTTTGTTTTATTAGGATTATGCTGACTGTCCCTGTCACCTGAACCCAGACAGTATCCCGCAGTATCCCTTTAAGAGACAACCTCTGCCCACTCCCAATCTCTCTCTCTCTGTCTCTCTCTCTCTCTCTCTCTCCCTCTCTCTCTCTGACAGGCAAACTCCTATCATCCCTCCCGACTTTTTTTAAAAGAGGCAGCTCTCTGCCCCTTTCTCCCCACTCCTCTCTCCTCTACCCCGTCTTCTCTCTTCTCTTCTCCTTTCCTTTTCTCTCCTCCCTTTCCCTCCTCTTTTCCCCTCCCCTTCCTCCTCTTCTCTTCTCTCTTCCTCTGCCCCCTCTCCCCACTCCTCTCTCATCTTCTCTCCCCCTCTCTTTCCCTCTCCCAGCCCCCCCTTTCCAACACCCTCTAAACAAACTTTCACCCAAGCTCTCTTTGCATCCGGTATTCTGTCTCCCTTCCTGTGTTCCTCATCTGCCATGGGACCCACACCAAGGTCTCACCTGTGCCGCATTTTTCAGTTTTGTTTTTGTTTTGAGACAGGGTCTCACAATGGAGCCCTGACTGGCCTGCAGCTCCCTATGTAGGCCAGGCTGGTCCTGAACATTACAGAGATCCATCTACCTCTGCCTCCCTAGTGCTGGGGGTAAAGGTGTGTGCCATAACACAGGACCTCATTGCCTTCTTTGACCAACTTAAAGGTAGAACTTGATGCTGATCTCTGTCTTACCCCTCTTACCCACAAAACTACTTGGTAATCTAGGGCAAATGGGTATTTATTTGAAAGTAAATATTGACAGAGCTGGGCATGATGGAACACCCGGGAGGTGGAGACAGGAGGATTGCTTTAAGTTCCTGGCCAGTCAGGGCTATGTAGTGAGTGCCAGGCCAGTTGGGTCTCCAATCAAAATAAAGTAAGAGCACAAAAGGGAAAACACATGTTGCCACCGGGGACATTCAAGTGGCCCCCGCCAATACTGACCTTGTCAAGTGTCTACTTAACTCATGGACTTCCATTTCAGTGCTTTTAAACTCATTGAGCTCCTTCCGAATGGCAGCCTGGAAGAGTGGCATCTGGTCAGCATCTGTCATATCTAGAAATATTTTTGCTCTTCCACACAACTACATAAAAAAGTCACCTGGGGTGTCCTTTAAAACCTTCCAGGACGTACCCTCTTTGGGGACACCACAAGGCTCTACTGGAGCTGACTACATTTTATGAGGTCTCTGCACCCTTTGCTTCCCATGGGGTTACAGATGGCACACACAGTACTTTTGTCTCACCTCCCTTTGGCAGTTTTGCCCGGTGCCCGAGGAGTGTCTTGACACAGAGAGCCAGTGATAAGTCTGGAGGCTCATGTTATTCTGTGTTTCTGGGCACAGTCCCCCGACATGCGAACTGAAGGATCTTGTGTTGGATGGAACTCTACTTCTCAATGCCACCATACTAGGTGGTGGGGACCTTTCAGAGGCAATCTGGCTGTTAAGAGGGACTGACGCCTTTATGGGGGATGGGCTCGGTTAAACAGGAGGAGCAGGCTGTAACAAAGTAAGACTCCTATATTTTCTCTCTGGCATGGGTCTAGCTGAAGCACCATTAATTTCTGACCTTCAGGTATACTTTGTTTATTACAATATGAATGGAATGCCACTACATCTAGCTCCTGGACTTATGTGCTGTTATGGAGGAGTGTGAGGTTCTCACTAAAGGAGGTTGCCTGACCTTGGGCTTTCTGGCTTCCACAAACTTTAGTCCTTAAATAACCTTTCTATATAAAATTATGAAGTCTCAAATGTTCTGTTATAGCACCTGCAAATGGATCAAGATTCTGGCCTCCCTCCTTCGGGGAAGCAGACACAGTATCTTCTGTGTCTTTTCCATGTGAAGAACCAATGAGTGGCTTCCCATAGGTCACCTGGAGTACTCCTGCTGGCAGCCCTTTCAGGACAGGGTTCCTGCTCTCCTTACGTGTAAGGCCCCGCCTCCCTTCTCACCACCCCTGCTTACCTTGTCGGCAGCTGTGAGTCGCGTCCATGGCTTATCTGCCCTGCGGTCATAGTCCTGGGCGTCTGCCACCTCCACATAGTCACTAAAGCGGATGAGGATCTTCCTCTCGCGAAGTTCTTCCACCGTGGGTCTTTGACTGAGCTGCAAGGAGGGAGAAGGAGGACTTTAGACCATGGGTTCAGTTGTGAACTTGTACGTGTGGATGGTGAGTCCAGGAAGACAACTGAAACAGCAAGATGGAGCAGGGAGCAGACCCCGGAGTGCTTAACTCCGGGATTCTGAGAGCTTTCTTGTCCCTTTCAACCTCTCCATCTTACATAGATGAAAACCGCCTGTCCTTTGTCAGACTGCTTTTTTGGCCTGATAGGAAGCCTGGCTGTCTGTTAGCTGAGAGAGTATGCTATGGATTTTCCCTGTCTGTCCTTCACCCAGTGAGAGGCAAGCACCTTAAGCAATGATTCTGTCTAACCTTGGATTGGTGAGTCCACATCTCTGTCTTAAATTTAGTGCTGCTTGCAAAATGGGTTTGTAACACAATATGTGTGTGTGTGTGCAAATACATATTGTGTAGACACACATGGATATCTGTGCCTGTGTGCTTTAAGCATACAGAAGAGCATTCGCAAATGGTATGCACGCAGCCTCTGGAGTGTGAGGGGGTGGGATATGTTGATTTAGGAGTTTTTAGGGTTTCTTTCAGAAGGTCAGTTATAAGGTTAGTAAGCCAACACAGAGCTGAGCAAAGCTACATACATGCCATGGAGAAAATCCTTTGTGAGGAAGGAAGAATAAAATCATGTTTATTTAGCCATCCCCTGGTATTCCCCCTGAGCACCCTTCCTCTGTCCCTTAACTACATAAAGCTGACATTTCTATTATCTTTCCCTGCCACAAGCCTGTTTCTTATGGAGCAATACAACCATTCCCTTTATGATGCTGTCAACTCATGTTCAACCAATGTTACTTAACAATTTCTCCTCCGAGCCCTAGACTGTTGAAGGCTATTAATAGAAGAGGCATTCAGATAAAGTCTTACAGCTCTGGTCTATAAAACAAACAGCAAATCCAAATTACTCTGCCTGTTTTGACTGCCACGTAGCTATCTGCCTGATGCCCTTGGCTGGAGCTGGAATGTTCCAGTGTGCCACTGCCATGGCACAATGAGACGACAGCCTGCTGCCGTTAAACAGAGAAGTTTCTGGTGGTGAGCACAGGGGAGGACCGACTAGGCCTGTGGGTCCTTCTTGGCTAAAGGAGGAAGCTCCAAGGATCAGAAAGAAGTCTAATGATTATGGAACTGGCCCATGCCTGGAGCAGTGTGTTTTTAGTCTGTCCCGAGGCACCAGATATTTTCTGAGGGCTAGACGCTTTGGCATCCATGTTGTTTGTCATGAGCAAGTTTCCCAAGCTATGTGGCCAAGGTTGCTGTAAATGAAAAAGGTGGCCATCTTGGCATCCAAATGTTCTTTCTGAAATATGAGAGTTGATAGAATTTATACTGAAGTTAAAAATAAAAAAAACATTTAATTTTTGCCACAGTCACACCAGATAAACAGATAGTTAATAAAATTCTTCATTTTGTGTTCTTTGATCCAGTTACCTCAGGATATTAGACAAGTAGTGTTAATTTTTGATGTTTGCTACATCCTGAGCAAGGTTCTTAAGCCATGATGTCTGAATTTACCTTCCTGGAAACCATACTGGGGTAGTTGGTTTTAGTGTCTGACATCTTCTATCTCGGTACTCAGGAGGCTAAGGCAAGAGGTTCGAGAGTTCAAGGCTAGCCTGGGCTACCTGGTGAATTCAGGGCTAGTTTGGGTTACTCTAGCAATAGTCTATCTGCCCCCTCCCTGGCTTCAAAGAAGTAAATGAATAAATAAATCATTATCTAGCATTTATCAGTTGCCTGTCTAATAGCAGAATCTGGAGAGAAGACTTGATGATGGATGAACTCAAGGACAGGGGTGATGGATGGATGGGCTCAAGGACAGGGATGAAGGATGGGCTCAAGGACAGGGTGAAAAATGGGCTCAAGGACAGGGGTGATGGATGGGCTCAAGGATGGGGTGAAGAAAGGGCTCAAGGACAGGGATGAAGGATGGATGGGCTCAAGGACAGGGATGAAGGATGGATGGGCTCAAGGATAGGGATGAAGGATGTGCTCAAGGACAGGGATGAAGGATGGATGGGCTCAAGGACAGGGATGAAGGATGTGCTCAAGGACAGGGATGAAGGATGGATGGGCTCAAGGACAGGGATGAAGGATGGATGGGCTCAAGGACAGGGATGAAGGATGGATGAGCTCAAGGACAGGGATGAAGGATGGATGGGCTCAAGGACAGGGATGAAGGATGGATGGGCTCAAGGACAGGGATGAAGGATGGATGGGCTCAAGGACAGAGATGAAGGATGGATGGGCTCAAAGACAGGGGCTGCTTTTCACGCCCCAAATCCTGTGTTGCTTTCGCTCTAAGTCAAATCAGCATGATATCATGCTTACGTTCTGGGAAGGGACAAGTAAGGACAGCGCAGATTGCTATCTTGGGGGTCTTGGGTGGAATGTGGACGCAGGTACTAGTCAGAATCTTCCAGAACACTCTTCTATGTGTGCAAGCTCAGAAGATGTTTGATACCCAAACCATGAGTTCCTCTCGAGATGTTGAGGATACAATCTTTGTGGATAAAGTCCAGTTTTCTGAGGACGATGGATTGGGAGAATGGAAAAGGGGCAGTATTTTTTATCAATCTATGCCAGCAGTGTCATAAAATGAGCCAACTGAGATCCAAATTCACTGAAATACAACCCAAACCCTAAGTTTAGCCCTTCCCTTCCTCTCATCATATAGCCATGTGTGCTTTCAGTTAGGAAGCTGCCCTTTCCTGGGGTTTGTGGGGTTTGGATGGATTGTAGGGCCTTGCACATGGGAAGAGAACACTCACTGTGCTATCTCTCCGACTCTACTCTTAAATCCTTTTTGTTTTTGGAGAGGGGAGACAGGCATTTATTTCTAGCATATAATTTTTATGTTTTCAATTTAATTTAAAAAATGACTTGACCTATTAGTATCAACACCAGCCTCTGGGTTTTATTTTTTATTTTTCACTAGTCTATTAAAATTCAATAGAATTTTATTAAGGAAATCAGGGCCGAGCATCTGGTTTTGAGATGATAGAAGCTCCAGGGAAACGAATTTGTCCAGAGCCAGGGCAGGCTGTGTGTTTCCCACCTACAGGTGGGCACCAGTGCTCTGCAGACCCAGGGAAATAGTACATTTCCGGTTTCCACATTTCCCTCAGTCTCCTCCTGAAACACTCATTCCTGTTCTCAAGATCTCCTTGGCGGTCTCAGGAAACTGGAAAGGCTGAAATCACAGGGCCATTACCCTGGTGGGGGTGGGTGGGTGGGGGAGTGAGAAGGTGGTCAGTCGGGGTGGAGAGAGAACAGGGGTGGGGGAGGGGGACAATGATGTCAACTGTAGAATCTAGGGGCTGTTTGTGGGTGTAAGGTTGTGAGCATCATCATCCTGAGGGTCAGAAGTGTGGGAAGCAAAACTCTTGCCCAGTCGACTAACGCATTACATGCAGTTACAGTCGGAGTTCTGGCTAAGAAGAAAGAATTGACAGATATCTAAATAATCCTTTTCTCTTTCTCTCTCTCAGCGGGGTCTCACTATCTAGCCCAGGTTGGTCTGGAACTTGTTAGACCCCAGGATGGCTTCAAACTCAAAGCTATGCCCTTGTCTCAGACTCCCAGAGTGTTGGGATAATAAGAGGCATGCCATGCATAAGGGCCAAAGTCAGCCTATAAACCCCTCTTTCCTTGCCCAAGGACAAATTAACTGCCTGGAATGCTGGGAAATAGCAAGCTGCCTTTTTTTCCTCCCCTAAACAACTTTGTTAGACCCATCCACAATGGATGTGATCAAGCTTGATCACACATGGGCAGGAGGTATGTAGGCAGGAAATATGTCAGGATGTAAGCTTGCCCCTGATTGGACCTGATGGGAATTGTGCATTTTGCCTTTTTAAACCCCTGCAAAATGTGAATCAGGACCACTACCTAAGATCCTAGAGTGGACCTGATCGGAGTCCATCCTGGTCAGCATTTAATTAAAGGTTGCTTCAAATTTGGTTCAGAACTGTAGAACTGGTTTTTCTCTCCTGACTCTCAGGAATAACACTTTCTACCAAAGATTGGAGTTAGAGCAACTGACCAAAGAGAGGTCATTCAGCTCCTATTCTCGTCCCTCTCTGTGTGATGCCAGCCAGACACTCCATCATCCAGGCCCTTGTTTATCTTCCTTCCTTTAATTAGTTTGGCATTTGGCTTGCCACCAGTGTTTGGGATGATTTGGGGAAGATAGAGCATCGAGAAGTACAAATCACTTCTCAGGACCCCCAAATCTCATCCTTTATATAATGTTTCCAGGGAGAAAAAGTCACTAATGAACATCTTTAGAATTATTTCTAATGGGTCTCTTCACCATCGTTAAGACTAAGTAGCCTTTTCTCAAGAGGGCACTGCAGGGGGCTGATTGAAAACACTAGAGGCAGATGGAGGGAGTGTTATATCCTGTGTACCATCAATTCATTAAACTTTCAACAGGATCCAAGAATAGTTCCAAGCTTATTATTCATGTGTCTTTTTTTCCCCAAGAGGCCACTCATGTTTTGGAAGACCTGTGGGTCTTTACAGCATGGCGATATCTTCTATTTAAAATGTAGCCCAAACCCAGCTGTATGAGTTTTAAATGCTTTTCAAACATCTTCACCAAATGGATCAGTACTTCCTTGGTATTTTCCTGGCATTATGGTAGTTTCCTGGTCCAATAATTCCAACTGGACTTAGCAGAAGACAGGTAGTAACAGAGGAACAAAGAAAGCTCATGGTGTCCTTTGGTCATAGCAAAGACAATGCTATTTTAAACATTTTTTTAAAAAAACCAAATGGCCAGTAACTCAGAATGTGTTGCTCAGGCTGGCCTTGAACTTGATGCAATCTCAGCTTTCTGAATGCTCAGATTACAGGCATGAGTCATCATGCCCACACTGAACTACTAAATTCCTTCCTTCCTTCCTTCCTTCCTTCCTTCCTTCCTTCCCTCCCTCCTCCTTCCTTCCTTTCTCCTTCCTTCCTTCCTTCCTTCCTTCTTCCTTCCTTCCTTCTACCTTCCTTCCCTCCCTCCTTCCTTCTTTCCTTCCTTCTTCCTTCCTTCCCTCCCTCCCTCCTTCTTCCTTCCTTTCTCCTTCCTTCCTTCCTTCCTTCCTTCCTTCCTTCCTTCCTTCTACCTTCCTTCCTTCCCTCCCTCCCTCCTTCTTCCTTCCTTTCTCCTTCCTTCCTTCCTTCCTTCCTTCCTTCTACCTTCCTTCCTTCCTTCCCTCCCTCCCTCCTTCTTCCTTCCTTCCTTCCTTCTACCTTCCTTCCCTCCCTCCCTCCTTCTTCCTTCCTTCCTTCCTTTCTCCCTCCCTCCTTCCTCCCTCCCTCCCTCCCTCCCTCCCTCCTTCCTTCCTTCCTTCCTTCCTTCCTTCCTTCCTGTATTTCTGTCTCTTCTTTCTTTTTGAGACAGGGTCTCACCGTGTAGCTTTGGCTGACCTAGAACTTACTATGTAGACCAGGCTTTGAACTCACAGAGACCTTCCTGCCTCTCCCTCCTAAATGCTGGGACTTAAATACCACTAAGTCTGACTTCTTCTTTCTCCTTTTCTCCTTTTCTCCTTCCTTCCTTCCTTCCTTCCTTTTTTTGGTTTTTCGAGACAGGGTTTCTCTCTATATCTCTGAATGTCCTAGAACTACTCTGTAGACCAGGCTGGCCTTGAATTTAACAGAGCTCCACCTGCCTCTGTCTTCCTAGTGTTGGGATAAAAAGCATGCACTACCACTACCCAGCCTCCTGGCAATTTTTTTTTATTTGATTGAACTCCTGATTTGCATAATGAGTTTCCAATGGTGTGGTAGGGTTAAAACACACACAATCTATTTCTTTTTAAACTTATTTTTTCTTTTTATTCATTCACTGTTATGTGCATGGGTGTTTTGTCTTTAGCTATATCATGTGTGTTCCTGGTGCTCACAGATACCTGAAGAAGATGCTGGGCTCCCTTGAAACTGGAGTTACAGCTCAGCTGACCATTATCCACAAGAAAGATGTTAGGGAGTCTCAGCAGTCTGGATCAAGAGGCTTCAAAGCCCTCCTGGCTATAGAAACCAAGGGGTGAGAGTAGCGCCGCACGTGGGGAGCTATCTTACCTTGCGAGTCAGCCTCCTCTTGATTTCACGCTTCTCCTCCTGCTCTTCTTGTTCATTCCGAGCTGAAAACACATGGCAGATGCTACTGATTACAGTGCATGGTGTCACCCACACCCAGGTGTAACCTCTGAGTTTTTCAGGCTCTAGATGAAGCACTTAGATCCCGTCCCATTCCCTGCTATCCTTAGGCCTGAAGGATGCACCCTTTCAAATTGGTAGAATTTTTTTTTTTGCATTGTTATTCTCCTTATGTCTGGGTTTGGGGCCCAGGCAAGGATGCTGGGATAAGCCAAGTAATTATAAGCCAAGGAGGTGTGTGGGAGAAGTGTGGGTGCACTCTGGGCAGTGACAGACATTTTGGGGAGACTCAGGATGCCTTCCTTGAGAAAGGTATAAACCTCATGCCTCTTAGAGCCTCTGAGAGGCTGAAAGGGCTCATTGTGTGTGGCCCCAGTGATCAGAGCCCTGTAGGGTAGGAGAGGCGACATGCCTCCACCTGCTGCAGGAATGACATGGGGGCAGAGTCAACAGCAGCCTGAAAGACTGCGGGCACTGACTTCAGAGTTCTCACCTTGCACAAGTCCTAAGTTCATTAATTCTTTAAATCTCCCAAGAAGTCCAAAGAACCCATGTGAAGAGGCCAGAGTGTGGAATATAGGTGCTTGCATTTGGATTTGGAAGCAGGGTCTTAGGAATACACTCCAGAGACTAAACGTTCCCAGATTGATATATGAACAATGGACTCATCAGACTTTAAAAAGTAAGGGTCTGGGGAAGGGATTAGGAAGAAGGGCGGAGGACTTGGGCGTTTTCTCTGTCTGAACTAACAGAATGACCGTACACAGAGCGTCATTTACCTTCTGGGTCTTGGAAGGGCTCCTTGTTCTCTGTGGAAGCACATTCATCAACATGGTACCATCTGATTTGAAAAATACCATGAACGCCAACTAGTGTCACAGAAGGCGTAAGGTCCTCAGTCATGGGGTGAGGAGAGCATCAGCAAAAGCAAACTATGGGTGGATGTGGGCACGGTGTCCCTTAAGTTTGCACGGGATACCTGTGTTCTCATTTTGTAATCGTGGTTGGCAAGTGATGTTTCTGCAACTTTATGATTCTGTTATCATGCTCCATAGTTATTATCCAGTTCTGGCTTCTAAAGGTCTCGGTACAGGGTAAGTCTTTCAGAGAAAGAAATCCCAGTGCATAGAAGTAGAGGTGGGGCGTATGTAATTAGTAGTCCTGCTTTTCCCTCCCACTACCCTAGAAGTCAGCAACAGTTACAGCCAGCTATGACCAAAGCTGGCGACAACTTTTTTCTGGCAACAAATGGCATCCATTCAGAGCAGGACTAAGGGCCCTGAGTGACACTCCCAGGGTATAATTTTGTGTCCCTGTCTGCCTGTGGGTATCAGGACCTTGTATGCACAGCACAGGAAATATCCTTTCCTTCTGTGGAATGGGCCACAGTGCCAGTACTGAACCACGAAGCCTCTTCTTTTGAATTTAATAACCCTACTTCCTTCCCAGAGTTTCCTTAAAACACACACACATCGCTCTTTGCTAAACATCTCTAATAGCCATTGCTATCTTAGGATGAACTAACCTATCACAGATAAACTGGGAAGCAGATAGCATGACCCAGAAGAAGGGATACCCAAAGACTGATATTTCTTAAAAAAATGTAAATTACTGTGATAAAGAGAAACTAGCCAGCCGTTAACATCTTAGTATAAATCATTCTATCCAGACTCAATTTGGAGGTAGCTGTGACCCCAGGCAGCTAGCTATACTTGCAGGAGGAAAAAGGATAGAAGGAAGGCAGTCTTGCTGTCTGTCCTAGATTTAGCTCAAGGGCACCATGTTGAAATTTAGAGACCCTATGGGCTACCATTCTGGGTTTCCAAAAAGAACTCACGAAAGCCCCGGGCAAAGAAGCCACCAGCCACACCTGACACAGCTCACCATTCAAACAGTGCAGACCTCTGCTTTTTCCTGCTGCCACAATTTGCTTGAGGCTGGTCCTCCTTCCCATTCCTGGGTCCGACCTCACTCCTGACCTACAGGACCCTTTTGAGCCATGAGGGTGGGTGTTCTGTACCAGAGATGACACAGCACAGGGGCCTTCATCTCTGAAGTAGGTTTTCAGGCCCTCAGAGGTGCGGGTCATAAACTGCCACCTACGGTGTCCATACCATTAGCTCAAAGCCATTTACCAACCCAGTGTCATGAATTCTCAGGAAGAGGATGTCAAGGCAGTCCCACTAGGCAACTGAGAAAAGGGGCCACAAAAGTCTGGTGACGTCATCGTCATGGTGCCCACTCCTCAGAGTTCATTGTGTGCTCAGATGCACATGGGGCCTCACTGGCTACTGAACAAAGGAAGGGCTTGCTTTACAAGGCTGGGCAGGTTGGAACTGCAGACAGAGCCCAGCTTCTACTGCCAACATCTCCCAGCTTCTCTCCCAGTTTAAAGCCCAGAAGATAAGTTTTAGAACTGATTGTTTGGGAATGTTTTCAAAGACTGCTTGACATTTCTTATAGAATAGTTAAGTAGGTCAGAGATGTGGTGACATAGGCAATCCCAGCACCTGGAAGGTGGAGGAGGGGTATTCAGGGGTTCAAAATCAGCCTTGGGTATATACCAAGTTTAAAGCTAGCCTGGGCTACAGGAGACAAACAACAACAATAAAAAAAAACTAGGAGAGAAAACCACCTCTCTCCCCAATGAAAACAAGACCAACCAAAAATTAGATTAAATAATAAACACAGAAAATAAATTTAGAAAGACAAAGAACCAACACACAGGGAAAGTAGGTCCATCTCTGAAAGGTTTGGAAATCAAGAGATGATCAATCCGCTTGAACTTGGTTAGGCAGAGGCTGAATTTATAGTTATTTTATCAGGAAAAGGTAGAAGGCATTTGATAAAACACAGGCACAATCACATATTTGCCGTTAGTCTCCCTGGACTGGTTAGACTCTAGGAAGCAACAGTAACACAGAAATCTACCAAACAAACCAAACACAAAACCAGGGCCAGGAGCCTGGCTATAGTGTTCTGGGCTCTGGGTCAAGCAGAGGTGGAAGCCAGATGTGAGCCGGGGGAATCCTCTCTCCGGGATCTTCGCTGCTGCCACTGCTGCTGCAGGAAACAGCATTTACAGAAACCTGGTGTGCAGCGGCGCGGTGCTTGGCTTGCAGAGCTCAGGACAACTGCAGCAGAGGAGTGGAGGAAGCTTTTATCTGATTTCTAATTTGTGGAATCAAGAGCTCCCTACTCTCCTTTCCAGTTCTCATCAACAATGGAAACTTTATAATGGACCAGATGTCTGCACGGGGCAAAAAGGAAACATCCTAAGGGCCAAGGCTTGCCCAACAGTAGAGATTGCTAACAGTTCTATGCCATCTATTGTACAGAAGAATACTGTTAGAAACAGGGCCTTGCTATGTAGCCTAGGCCGACAAGAATTTACAGTCTGCCGGTTTAACACACGGTCTGCGAGTGCTGGGATTACAGGTATGTGGCACCATATTCTGGCAAACTTAGAAACTTTGGAGGGCGCTCACTGGTTTAAAAATAAGTTAGGGCTGGTGAGATGGTTCAGTGCACACAGGCGCTTGTCACTGAGCCTGGCAGTCTGAGTTTGGTCCCCTGGACTCACTTGGTGGAGCGAGAGAATGGCTCCGGAAAGTTGTCCTCTGACCTCCACATGAAAGCCATGGCATACGCCCTCCCCACCAATCAGCTAAATGGATGCAAGAGAAAAAAATTCTATACACCAATCCTTAGGCACCTTACTGTTGTGTAAGGCTCACTCTAGACGCAGGAAAATGGCTCGAGACCAGCCTGCTCTGAGCTTGGGAAGGTAATGGTTGTCTTTGAGAAAGGATGCTGGACTCTGAGACAGACAAGCAGCTGGGCACCTACAGGGGCTGCAGAGCCTATCACAAGCTTCCCAGGCAAAATGCAACATCGTCCTGCAGCAAATCACTGAATGGTAGCCAGGTCACAAGACCATCGAGAGGAGAGGTAGAAAAGCGCAACCAGAAATGAAATGACTTTAAGTGGAAATATCCAGTCGCCTAGAGCAAAGTCTCACGTGATGTGTGCGCGCACGTGTCTATAAGATACTTCCTAATATGTAATTCTTTTTTCTTTTTGGAGAGAAATTAGAAGGGCTTTGGGGGGGTGCCAGGGAAAAGGAATCACATATTAAAGTAAATATATTATTTACTGGTTGAGGAAACTGTAGGTAAGGACAGCAGCCAGGGTCTGGTGGGTGTGGCTTGATTTACAGAAATTATCAAATATCTTCTGTTGAATGGAGGTATATTGGGTTGGTGGAACGCTACTTCTTTTCATCATTTCACATTCTTTAATTGCTTTGGTACCAAGTGGATTCTCTGCACAAATTTAAATGCACTCTATGTCCCGAGCTGAACAAGGGGCCCATTTTCCCCCTGTTCACAGCCAGTTTTCGGTGGATGGGAGCGTCATGCGAGCGTGCCTCTGGCTAGGCCAGACTCAGGAGGACAGGCTGAGTGTTCACTCGGCAGGGCTTTCTCCCACTGCAAAGCTGGTTCTCAGGGGGCTGAGTTCCGTCAGCTGCAGCCAACTGATTTCCAAGCCTCACACTCAGATTTCCCTGACATACACTAGCCATCAAAGCCCCAGTCACTGGTTTAAAGTCAATAAGTGTGACACTGGCCTTCTTTAAAGTCGCCTTTTTCTGGTGAGTGCCTCAGTTCGATTTTCAGCTTAGCTCAGGGTGGGCTCTGGTTTCAGCCTGGGAGTTCCTAACCCATAACCCAGAGGTCAGAGGCATAGCTCGCCCCCAACTTTTCAGAAAAAACATCCTTGGTTTCCATGAGGCCTCCAGCAGGAGGGGTTTTCAGCGCCTCCATGGGCCCCAGGGAGAGACCTGGTAAGCCACGACACAGCCAGCAGGAAGGCTGCCCTGAGTATTTGGTCACCCTGGGCTCAGTCAACTTACGCTTCAGAATGTTCCTCTGTTCCAGTTCCTCTGCGGTGGGTCTCTGGCTCAGCCGCCTACGAAAAAAATCCAGGAAAATTTTTTGGACCATGTCATATCCTTCTGGGGTCGGTGATCTCCACGGCCCCAGCAGAGACATCAGGCAGCGTCAGCAGCTGGAGTCCTCTGTCCATCCTGTGCTCTGAGACACTGACTGGCTGCCAGAACCTCCTTGGTTCCTCAATTTCAAGCCCAGGAAGGGCACCCTGCGTCAGGTCACGCAAAGCTGCCCTCCCTCCTGCTGCAGGCCCCTCCCCAGCCCTGCTCCTCCAGTGCCCCAAGGCCAGGAGACCGAAACTTAACAGGGCCTTTTCTTCACAGAAGTCCCTTTCTTTCCTCGTAGCCTCTTGACTTGCAGGGTTGTGTGGCCTCCTGCCTTTCTCTCTCTGCCTCCAGGCTAGCGCATGCTTCTTGCTACCTTTGTGCACACCGAGAGCACAGAGGCTTGTGGCCTGGAGGACATGCAAGAGAGGGTGTCTGTGTGCGGAGAACAATGGCTACTCTTCTTCCTGTCTCCACCCATCTCCACCAGAGCCTTATTAGACATAGAATGCCAGATGAACAGGCACTGAAATGACTCTTATTACCGGGTGCATAATTAAGTCATGGAGAATGCAGCATCATAGCAGGGGCTGAAACTTCTAGTGGTGCCTTGTGGAGAAGGAGGGACAAACAGGGGGAAGAGGTAGCGACAGAAGTTACTCCAGAATGGGAATGATGGCTCACAAGGGGAGAACCACATACTTGGACACCTCCACAAAGTTCCGGGGGGAGGGGCAGACATCACACAGAGTGGATCTGATTTGGAACAGGAACACTTTTGTTTTCCAAGCTTTTGGCAGGTATTGAACGACCCTGCAGATATTCAGCGCATCTACTGCACCCACGAGGTATTATTGATAAGGTGTGTGTGAGAGGAGGATTGTGGAAGGAACTCCAGGCTCCTCAGAGTCTGCTACTGGGGCACGATCGGCAGAACGGCACGCATTTCTAATCGTACTCCCCAAATTTCTGAAACGGAGGTCTGTAGTTGGAGAGATGGTTACAGCATGGAGTTTTACGAGACCCAGGATGTAAGAAACTTGTCAGGATCAAGATGGAGTTGCTTTGGATCTTGCCCTAGCAACAAGTGAACTAATTAAATAAATCGAGCCAGCTGCTATGGAGACTGCAAAAATTACAACCTCGGTACCACAGATATCTATAAGGATGTCTGCCTAACTGTGCTTTCAATGTCAGGCCGGTCAACCTTGCTGTTTATTCTTGCATTAGCCAAAGCTGCTTATTTTAAAGTATACTAAGCAATCCTCACTTTTTCCTTTAAAATCTTTCCCCTCAATCTCCTCGCATGCCCATAGCTTACCATGGCACCTAGGTCTTTACTGCAATGCTCTGCTGTTCCCAATGCTCTGATTGTTATTCAGGCTGACAAACAAAATACAAAGTCCGCGGAAACTCCACACATAACTATTTCAAATTCAAGTCTTGTTCTCTCTGAGCCTGACAGCCCCTTGAAGCGGCTGGAAACGGTATTCCAAAGTGCTTTCAAGTTTGTAGGGACAATTTCAAATCTCTTACTCCCTTTGCTCTGGGAAGTATCTCTGTAACATGCTATGAAAGAGATACGGTCTCTGATCCTATTTCCTATCAAGGAGTACCCGAACCCCCGGGGACTTCCTACTAAGGAAGACCTGAGTCCTCTGGATCTTTGATACTCCCAATGAATCCCTTCAGATCAGGCCCTACTTGATGCTAATGACATAAGCCAGGGTGGGACGCCTAGGTAGCCTCTGGAGGGGACTGGCTGAAGTCCACAGCTAGAGACGCTTATGAGTTACCTGAAAGGGGGCTGCTCCATGACCACCCCACATCTTAATGTTCCCTCTTTTCTAGTATTTTTTTTCTGTAGGATGAACAGATGTGCTCTTCTTTAGAAATGAAACAGAACAAAACAACCACCACAGAAGCTGTCTTAAGCCCTCTTCCGGCCCCCACCACCTGATTGCTCTTGGCTGCCAGAAGCCTCCTGAAAAGGTGGTCCTGACTTGATACCGCCACAACCTATCCACGGCTCAGTTTCAGTCCACAGCCCTCTACCACACTGGTTCTCAACTGGGGTGATTCTACCTCTCAACACACATTTTTGAAGTTATTTCTGGTTGCCACGATTGGCAGCTGCTCTTGGTATCTGTTAGAAGAAGGCCATACTGATGCTAAATATCCCACAATGCATAGGTAAGCCCACCCACAAGGTTATCCAATCTAAAGCATGGCAGGACCAATGCCGAGAAATCTGTTCTGTTACTGCAGATCTTCTTAACTGAATGCAGGGGTCTTGAAAACATGGCAACAGTACAGGTTTCTGAACCATTGCATCAATCATGCAATGATCAGAAATAGAGTGAAAATCAAATGTGTAGTTGGACATGTGACACATGCCTTTAATCCCAGTGCTCAGGAGGCAGAGAGAGAGGAATCTCTGAGTTTGAGGTCAGCTTGGTCCAGGATGGGCAGGGCTACACAGAGAAAGTCTGTCTTGAAAGACTTCCCCCCACCATGCAAACAAAACAAAACAAAACAAAAAAACCAAATAAAACCAAAACAAATGCATAATGAACACAAGGTGTGTCTGTCAGTGTTCACACCTGTTGATCCTATATTACCACCACAGCCTTGCCTTCACATGCATAATGAACACAAGGTGTGTCTGTCAGTGTTCACACCTGTTGATCCTATATTACCACCACAGCCTTGCCTTCACATACATAATATACACATGTCACAGTGTGCAGCGTGCTACACCTCTCAATGTCAACAAACACTGCCCGAAACACTTTAGCTTAGGATCGGCACTAGAGCATGCTGTGAGTTGCAGTGTCTTTTTGCAATATGCATGAAGTTCTCTGCTCTTATGGAAACACAGTGTTTCCTGGCAGACAATAAAACTTCTAATATTTCCCATCATCATTCTTTAGCATGTAAATATCAAATCATTATACCTCTGGATTCTATTATATCAGATAGACAAGCACACCCATCTCATTAGCACGCAAATTTGCTTCTTTTTAAATAAGTGGTAAATTATATGCCCATGGTAGAATTGTTTTTGAAATATATTTCCTTATGATTACCAACAAATGACTTGTATACTAATCTCATATGCCAATATACCTGGGGTTGCATGCAAATTTCTTGAGTAGAAAGCAATCGGGATGGATTGCTATTGAACGATCCTATTCTATTGAATCAGCTCTTAGTAAGGTCATTGATGACTTTATCGCCTCATCCTGTGGCCTCACTCTACCTTTCTCTGTCATGTGACACTTCTGACCAGAGGCTCCTGTGCAGCTACTTTTTTCCCTTTGCTTTCAGAAGTCTCCCGTCTTCCTCTTCCAACGCCTAATTCCTGCTCCTCCCCAGTTCGCTGGCATAATGGTATCTGCTCCTTGGGCAGAATTGTGCACACCCACGAGCTGCTCGGGTTTCCTACTCATCAGGGGCAGAGCCCGCCTAAGCGACTGTTCCTCCCTATGCCTCGATCTGCCCATCTCTGTGCACAGCAGCAAAGCATCCCCTCACTGCCAATCTTGGTGAGATTTCTGATGCCGAGAATGGTCAGGGGAGGCGAGAGGGAGAGCGAGGGCTAGAGTGTCGCCTTCCTCGGCTAACAGCTTTCCATGGGCTGGTACTGCATTAAAGATAGAAGCAAACTCATTCCAGCTATGCCCTGCAACCCCAGTGGCCCTAATGCCCCATCTGTCTTTCCCTCCTAGTCCACAGTGAAATAACCTGGCCACACTTCCACGGATTTGGAAACCTGAGATGTTCTGACCCACTGAACAGGGCAAAAAGTTCCTCTGTTGTGCCACGGGTTTTAAAGATGATTTTACCCTTCCTGCTGAGGGTTGATGGGAGGATCTTGCATTGGGAACTCCTCAATGATGCAGACATTGTCTTATTTATGTGTTCACAGCACTTGTATACTGGCATACATAGGCGATCAGCAGAGTTTTAAAGATGATAGAAATCATTAATATCTAAGCTCCGGGGTTGTGCTTACAGGGATGAATATGAACTCTGGGTTTGTATGGGAGCCCTTCTTGGTGCAAAAGGATTATTCTGAGAGGACCCATTCCTCTTTGCCTTTTTCTCAGCAAATGAAGCGAACATGGAACTTTATTTAGCATCGTCATATTCCTAGTGTATGTGTGATATGTGTGCGTGTGAGTGCATGGGCGTGCCGTGGCCCAGGAGTGCAGGTTAGAGGACGGCTATCAGGACTTGGCTCTCTCCTTACACTCTGGGCTGCCGGGATTGGAGTCAGGTTGCCTGGCTCGCACAGCAGGGGATTTTACACATGGGACCATGTCCCCTGCTTAGCCCCGTAACTCTTACTAACATGGCACCACGCACCCGGTTTTGTCCTTCTCAGTTTTCTCTCACAGTGTCATCCTGCCATGCTGGCTACCAGTGAGAGGGAGGGCAGATGTGAAGTAGGACAGGTACCATGCTTCGTCACCTGCTCCCATCACCCACTCCCATCAGCTGGGACACGAGCCAGTCAGTCATGTCCTTGATTATATCTTCTGCATCCGAGTGCCTACCCGAGGCAGGTGGCATAGCGACATGGAGGCTACCTGCTGTGGAGAATGATGGGGGGGGGGGGGACCAAAAGACTCTTTTAACAAACAAGAATAAAGCTCCAAGTATTTTTGGTAACTAGGAAAAGGCCCCCTCACTTGAAGAGATTGAATAGGTTGCAGGTAAGAGGGTATTTTTGGCTTCTGTTCTGGGAGCCATGACCCCAGGGTGAAGCCCTATACTGCTCTCTGAGATAATAACTAGGAGAAACACTGTGAAAATGCCAATGGTGCTGAGGGGAAATTTGTTCTGGAATAAGGATAGAGCTGTGTGTGTTACTAGGCATCAAAACTGTGAAAAACAGCACAGAGCGGCAAGAAAGCTCGACAGCCTGCACAGTGGATGCTTCCAGTGTTATCGGGGCCGCTAGGCACAG